GACAAAATTAATGAGTGTTCAAGTGAGCCATGAACATATTGCATTCAAGGAGCGTACGATGTGTGGGATAGTAGCGTCGTCTTGAGATTTTATTTAGTTTAAATAATGGATATGGTTATTAAGAATTTTGCTCACATGCAAACAAACGTTTATCTTAGTCTTAATTATATTGCAATAGCAGGTTGATTAAAATCTATCAATATATTATACGTTTAAGTGAGTGTGTGACTGTGTTACTGTGCGAGCTTTTAGGCAGGCCAATTAACATTTCTCCGGGCTGAGATCGATTTGGTAACCGGTAATCTATTACCTTAAAAACCCAAAAACCGGTTACCCATAGGCGCAAATAGGGGGGGGGGCTTTAGGGGCTTAGCTCCCCCAAACAATTCATTAGCCCCCCAAACATTTCCTAATTTTTTTAAGCTTTATCGGAATTCTTATAGTTTATGAAGCAAAATTCATGTTTGTATTTTTAAGATAATGTGATTCGTAAATCAACACATTTTATTTATCATGAGATTATGCTAACTATCCAATATTAGATGCAATTATAGTTAGTTTGAGTATAGATTTTTAGAGGAGAGTTTAAAAATTGCAACAGCGGTTGATGAATTATTTAAATTAAATTCTTATTGATTATTATAAAGTACGTTGTAACTTGTATTTGAGCAATATTTATAAATTATGAACTAAATTTGACGAATACTTTTTTAAACTATTTTGTTTTTTTTTTTTGTATATTTGTGTACAGGATACTTTTGATATCAATTTTTCAAACTTAAAATGTGAAATGAATGTATTGAAAAACATGATGAACGAAGTTAATTTTGAAAATATCAAAAAACATCTAAATGAAGAAGTAGGTATTTCCTAATTTATTTAAAATTATGCAAGTGGCAATAACATTACCAGTGAGCTCGGCCACTTGTGAAAGGTCCTTTTAAACTATTAGAAGGATCAACACATATGTCCGAGCTAACATGACTCAGGGCCGATTTACTAATTTAGCAATACTGAATATCGAAAAAGATATTATAGAAGTAACATTGGAATAATATTAAGCACATTTGCTAAATCCAACCGAAGAATACAGCTCTAAAAATGTATTGGATACATTTTTTTAAATAAAAATTTGTTCTATAATTATATTATTTTGTTGTTACTTGTTGCTCTAAAGCCATACTTACAGTATTAATAATTCCTGTTGTTTTCCTAAAAGTTATGTGGTGTATAATGTATAATTATAAATATAATTTTGAAAACTATTATAAGTAGATGAAATAGCACATTTGAAAAAAATATTTAGTAAGTTTTATTTTCAGTCAATATGGTAATTAAGTACCCAGTATACAATATACCTATGTTGTAGGTACTAAAAAAAATGTTTAGGTGTTAATTACTTGTATAAATACTTCATTCAGTAGCTAGGGCTTCAACCCCCCGAATCTCAAACGCTATTTGCGCCTGTGCGGTTACCGCTTACGAACATTTTAACCCGGTAACCAAAGTTTTCATAAGCGGTTTCATACCCTGAATTAATAACTTATATTTTGCAATGGACATTGTCATACGCCTTGATTTACCAGAATACTACATTACTACTTAAATGCTTATTATATTATCTGCTTTTACATATGCAAGTAGATGCTCATGCTTATTATTATTTTAAATGACATACTAAAAATACTCTTACTGCTACTACGATTCACCCAATCTCCCAGTGGCGTATATAGCCATATAGGGGATGGGTATAGTGGGCTGCAGCCCCCCCCCCCGAAATTACAGTCTTTTTAAATAGAACAACAATATATTTTATTACGTACTATTATAAGTTATAATATTTCATAGCCTGTGGAAAAATATCAAATACGAATATATTTATAGAAACTGTTAAATATATAGTAGACAGTAGCCTCTAAGTAATAGATCACTTGCTAGTTTCTATCTATTATAGCCCACCCAAAAAATTATTTCTATATACGCCACTGCAATCACCCCCCCCCCCCCCGCGTTTATACCAAGATGTACCAGAATATTACACCCTTATACCTTATACTCACGATGTAGAGAAGATCTCTATGATCTTTATGCTTTATCTTGTATTGCATTTATTATTTTTAAACCTGTTGTTTAAAAAAAAAAGAAATATTTTATATAAATCATTTTACGGTATAGGTTTAGCTCCCTAACGATTTTTTTAAATTTTTTTTTGAAACATGTATTCCAATGAGTTTAGAACGATGGTGCAAGAATAAATTATCATCATTATTTTAAAAGTTATAGCCTTCTAAAGTTCGCGATTTTACGTTTATAGTTTAAACACATTATGCACATAACACCAATGCAGCTCGGGGGACCTCAAGTTTGGCGACCGGGGACGGGGCAAACAATGACATTTGAAAAGTATTAAAAATTCCTTAGTCAAAGTTTTTTTTTTATAAGCATTTAAACTTTATAGTTCAAATCTTGACAAAATACGGATAAATCACGAAAATTAGCAAATTATTTTGAGTTAAGAATTCATAAAAAGTTTTCTTTTTCAATCTAAGATTTTAAAATCTAATACAAGATTCCTCATAAGTTTTTCTACTTTTATCAAAAAAAAAAATGTCTACAAGCAAATCAAATTAAATTTTTATGGGCGTTTGAAGTTCATATTTTTACAACATTGGATATTCACTTGATTTTTTATGTAGCGATTTTCTTATTTTGTTGTAATTCAAAAACGAATAACCGTAGACTCTTGAAATTTATGTCATATGTTCATTTTATCAATTTCTATACTTGATACAATTTTCAAAATATTTTGACTTGTTTTGAGCTGTTTACGGGCAACCACGGACTAAGATATCTTATATCTTATATCTTAGTCCGTGCGGGCAACTAATGAGTCTAGACCACGAACATATTATTATACATAGTATAAGGAATTTCTTATACTATGATATTATAATAGTACTATCTATAAAAAAATTGTATTAACTTCAATCATGATATACTATGTTCAGGTTGAGAGTGCCCAGTCGCTGGGACGAAAACTAGTAGGTACTGTTCGCGCATGCATCACGTGGCTCAGTTTTCATGCGCGAGTTTGACATTCGCCTGAACCTGAACCGAGTATAGACTATAGTTACATACCGGACCCAATAGGTCTCAGAATACACCTTGATTGGCTTGATTATACCCACGATGTAGAGAAGACGTAGTAGCCCTTGCTGAATGCTGATAATGTATAGTAATTAGTAAAGTTGTCCAACATTATCTAAGACGTAGTGCTCTATGCAGTGAACTAGCCTGCAGTGACGCCAATGTGAAAAAAACATGGTAAATTATTTACAATGATGCCCGCTATCGCTATGCTCTGCGCTCGACATTTGACATTTTTAAATAATCATTAATCTGTGATACTGTGATAGCACCAACGGATTTTTCTTTGTATAAAGTAATTAAGACGTATATTTATTATTTAAATATTTGTACCCATGACAAAGTATATATTGTCAAGTTTAGTATTCGTCATGACAATTTAATTTGTCATGGTATTCGTAATATATTTGTATAATCTTAACTAGTTTACTTGGAGATTCTAATTCTCATTTCTCGTCAATTACGCTCGAGGCTCAACCGATTTACGAGGTAAAAATAGTTCAATATTATAAATTGTTATTTAGGTATTATATTTTAGGGATTATATTGTGACAAAAACAGTAATTTAAAACCGTTTTATTTGCGGAAATGTATTTACGAAACAATATTATTGTTGCCTATTTAATATTTACACATTTATACTCAGTGGCGGATCCAGGGCTTCATTTTGAGAGGGGCATGGGGGGGAAATGCCTCTTCTACCCCCCCCCCCTACATCCGCCACTACTTATGATGCACTCCTGGTGTCGTGATAAGATTGGTTTTGTCCACGAAATATTTGTACCCCTATGATATTTAATGTATTTCAATGATTTACAAATGCCTGCCCGTTTGTATCCTTGACACATTTTGGGAAATTTGGTTCTGATAATTTGATTGCTCAATTATTTTGCTCTTATGCACGAACACTGGCTACACTTGCCAATGCCAATGATATTACAGTAAAACCTTGCTAAAACGGGAATGCTTGGGACTGTCCAATTTTTCCGGACTTTCTGACTTGACAGAGTTCACATTCATTATGTAATTGAATCGGGACTAAAGAAATTGTCCGTGTTACCAGGGTCTCCTTCTTACCGAAGTTTTACCACATAATATTCTGTGGTTTTACTGTACAATTTTTTTTTTTTTTTATATACATATTATGTAGTATAATTTACATTTCTTATAGTTAAATATTGATGTGTATTAGTATTTAGAAGTTATAATATTAATTATTAATAGTATATTTTTCATGGCACATATACTGCACACATAGGTACCATATATTATATTGTATAATCATGGTTTGGAGTTTTTGGACTTCTGGTCTTATCTATAACAATATCATGTCTTCAAGACACACAAAGTAAAAACTAGATGTATATAGATGTATGGATGTTCAAAGAAGACTATAAAGTTATGTTATGTATTACAGAGAATTCAATTAAGTAGTAATATTTCACATATGGTTTTCTCAAAAATTTTCAAAAAGAAAATGATTCTTCCATTTCCTAGAAGATGCCTAAAATTAAAAGTTTTTACCATTTAGTACTTTTATAGTTTTATATTATCATGAATAAGAATCATATTTACCTATTAGATAAAATTCCACTATAATATGTGTCTATTTTCTATCTTATTTATTCCTAGATATTAAACTATAAATATTACACTTTTTTAGAAAGTAATAAATAGTTTTAAGCGTTTAATATATGCAATTAATTGTTGGTTTATATAGGGGTGTCACTATTGTATCAACTATCAATACTGTATCATTTTTTTACTAAGAATATCTTAGTTAAGTAAGTAAACATTTAATTATAAAAAAATTCAATTAGTGAGAAAATGTTTTTCATTACAGCTTTGAAATAATGAATTCAGACAATGCTAAAAATAAGAATGTTGACCTTTGGTCAGTAGGAAAATGTGTATTTTGTAAAGAAAAAGTAGAGGAAGATTCAAAAATCTTGAAATGTCTTCATATTATTTGTAAAGATTGCACTAAGAGAGAAGTTACTGATTTAGGTAAAATTAACTTAATGTTTTATTTATTTATTTTTTGTTTCATTAGATATTAGAGAAGTTTGAAAATTAATTAAATCTTAAAATGTTATAAAAACCTAGGTGTGAGGTGCAAATGTAAAATAGTGACTAAAGGTGAACTTATTGATTACTCGACTGAGCCACTAAATAAACCACAAGTAAAGTTATGTTGTGAAACATATTGTCAAGAAATAGCAAAGAAAATCTGCTTGTATTGCAAAAGCATGTATTGCAAACCATGTTCAAAGGTAACTTTAAATATCTTCTGCACATATAAACATTTCTTTAGTTCAAAATATATTTTTCTATTAATAGATACATCCAATTAAGAATAAAGATCATGACCCTGCCTTAATAAAGACTTATCCATTAAAAAAAGAATTTCTTCCATGTCCAAAATGTATGAAAGTAAGTTATAAATATAAAAATCAAATTAAAAAAACATTGAATTAATTAACAAACATATAAGATATGAATTCAAAATTAAAAAAAAAAAAAATTATATTATATTTTAATGAATTTTTTATGAATCTTAATAAATTACTTAGTCTGCTAAAAGATAGATATTTGTATATTATGATATCAGATATAGTAGCATTATTATTTTGTTTCAGAAATGTGTAGAATTATTTTGTATGAAATGTTTACAAATAAATTGTTCTCTTTGTCATTTATTGCATCATAAGAAACATAATTTCAAAGTTCTTTCCACAATGGCCACCGAAACCAAGGCAGAATTCCAAACGTTACTAATTAAAATAAGGTATGGTGAAAATAATTATTATAAAAAATATGTAATATTAAGTAATTCTATTAACCCTTTGACTGGTATGGACATACTATTAATTACTTTTATTCTAACATAAAATATACTGATTCAACTTGGTGATTATACTGAAAAAAAAAAAATGAATTTAAGGGAGCTCCAGTCGGCCGTGTTTTAGGGAAATAAAAATAGGAAATTTCTTATTTAACATGATGACATTATAATGACTTGTAAGTAGGTGCAAAGTAAATGAAAATTAGTATGTGTGAGTTTAATATTATGTAATAGTTTTCGGTCAATATGTATATATTCCTAGAAATGTCCTGAATTATAACAGTAGGCCTGCATAATACCACATTTATATTCGCCATTAATTAACTTACATACATGCAGGCATTGACAATGATATTAAATTAGATAAACTTTTTTCAATTTAAAGGAAGTGGTTTTTAGACAAAACTAAAGGAATTTGGTTTGACGGATTTCATTTTTAAAAACTGATTTTCATTGATTACTAAGTTAAATAGATTTCGGTCAAGGTGATTTGAATATCTATTTTTTTCAGCTGTGATATGCATGAATAAAAATATACTATTTTTGTATTTATATTATTCATTATGACACTAACAATAATTGGAATAGAGATGGGTGTTTTAGTAAATAAAAATGTAAAAGTGGAAAGGCTAATAGTTTTTTTTAGGTGTAAAAACTAAACGTTTTATTTTTCAGCAAAGATAACAATAATTTAAAATGTCGGATGCGAAGGTTAGATGAAAATATCGACAAATTGATGTCTGAGAAGAAGGAAATTAATGACAAAATTGATAAAAGTATCATTGTGTAAGTTATAAACTATGTAAATTAAATAAAAACCATCTTATTTATTATCTCTTTGCAGGTTACATAAAGAAATTGATAAACGCTCATTTGAACTAAAAAAAATACTTGAAACACATATTGCAAATGCTGTTAATAGTATTAATATAAGTAAAGAGGTTCTTAATGGTTTTAAAAAAGAAAATGAATATTATCATAGTTTAACAAGCTCTGTTATCAATCATAATAAAACATTTGGATACATTCAACTTTCAAAGTATGTTAAATTTAAGTCAAATATATAGACATGAAAATTAATAAAGTTAATCTATTTTAGAATTTTCAAGGATAAAATGGCCATTGCTAGTAGCCAAATCCAACACATACCTAAAGAAACAGCAAATTGTAAAGCTAAATTGGTATACAATGATGAGCACTCTATGAGAAAATGTGTAGAAGGTAAGTTAGTAGCGACTAGCAAACAAAATTAGGAAATAATTAGGTTTTTAATAATAAAATAATATATATATGTATATTTTTTTTAGCAATTCAAGGAATGGAAAATATTATTTCATCAGCAGCTGTTAATTTATCAGTATTTAAAAACACAGTGGACTCAAATAATGTTGTCCCGCTCTCCGAGCTCTAGAAAATAATAGTATAAGAATTTAAAATATTACAAAAATAAGTTTTTTTTATAATCTCACATTCTATTACTAATTTATTAATAATCCGATGTTTTCTCTATTATCTTACTCTTGAGACTATACTGGTTCTTAAGATTCAACCTTAAAAGTATTTTTTTTTTTTAATATTATGTATAATTTGTTATGAAATTGTTTTATTTAACAAGTATGAATTAGCATGGTAATGATATTTAACTGTAGCTATCAGGTTTATAATTATTTATTTATGGTTTTTAATAAAAAGTTTAACAATGTATGCGCATGACTTTTAAATAGTAAATTTATTAGTTCTTAGCAATCTCCCAATATACGATTCTAGGTTCCGGTGACTATACAACCTAGCCATGGACGTAAATAGGGGGGGCATAGGAGGGCTTAGCCCTTCCTGAGGCATCTTAAGCCCTCCATAAAATATTTTAATATTTAGGTTATCTTTATTAAAATAAGTTATAACCAATGGTAATAGCCAGGGCCGGTCTTACAGAATTATGAGCCCTGGGCAAGGAAAATTAATGCGCCCTCTAGTTCAGGTTAAGTATTTTTTACTCAGAAGTCAGAATAAAAAACAAACTGTTTTAATTAACTTTTATTACTGAAATAAATTTAAAGTAAAGTCATTTTTATAATAATAATATTAATAAGTTTATATTATATAATATGTAGGTATGTTTATATTCAAATAATCTTCGTATTTTTAGTGGAACTTTGCGTGCTTTAATCTCTGCAAATTCATTTACCCATGTTGTCCAATCGAGATTTTCAGCAATATAAATTTCAATAGATAAAGTTGCAAGTGATGACAATCTTTCATCACCCATAGTTGCTCTTACATATGTTTTAATTAGTTAAAGTTTTGAAAAACTACGTTTTCCAGATGCAACTGTAACAGGAATTATCAAAAGAATCCTAAGTGCGATCCACACATTTGTACTTGAATTTTATACTTAATACTCTAGCTTGGAAGACAAAAGCGTTAAATATACTTTCGAATGTAGTGCGCGTGAAGGTGGAGTAATTGATGGTGGCATAATTGATTCGACTATTTATTTCGTTAGTCTGTGACAGCTATGGTTTTTCTCAAGATATCTTGTAATTTTTGCAATACATTATTGTATTTACTTGAATTATTAAAAATAATTTGAGTTACAAAAACTATTATTAAAAAATTAATATCTGAAACCTGAAGGGGCCCGGGGCGGTCGCCCAGCTCGCCCACCCCTAAGACCGGCCCTGGTAATAGCTACAAATATAATAAAAGTAATTATATGTAGGTACGTTTTCGTATGATCAGTTGATGGCTATTTTAACGGCCAGCAACCCAAACGTATCAATAATATATATTATATCACTCGGACGTGTGCCGTATGCGTGCTGGCATGCAGGTACCAACTACCAGAACACCGGTTACGATTTCACCATAGAACAATATAGAAGCGTTGACAACAGTAAAAAACATAATGGACAACTTAAGACAAATTTTAAACAAGTTTTCCTAGAAGGAAAGAAGGATGCAATTATAATGAATTAAATTATTTATGGTATTAAAACTCTTTGATTTTTTACAATAATTCAAAAAATTATTTTACATTTAATTTGTGATAGTTTTGAATTGTATCAGCATCATAGGTAAAGTTGTGTGTAGGTAAGTAGTGGGTGGAAGACAAATCTCCCAATATTTTTCTTCTTGAAACCTTTTGGGCTCAAGCCCTATGCATTTTAGAACCCTATTTATGTCCATTAACCTAGCAAAAAATAAAATAAAATTATGATAGATGAAGGTAAAATATTTACTATTCAAAATTGAATTATTATTAATATTGATGTTTTTGTTTATAATGGGTTTTTTTGGTTGATAAATTTCTATCTGAAGAAGCATAATTTTAACTATTTATCATGCATTCATATTATAATATATACATACACAAAAAAGGTGGGCAAGTGGGTGTCGCTCTGCTGTACAGTAGGTTACAAGTGGGTCATTGTATAATGGATGGTATTAAATTTGAATTCAATGATATAATATTATTGTATAAGAAAAACGATTCTGAGCGGAGACGGTATGTCCTTCTAGGTATAAGACATTTAGACATATTATATAGGTACATATCTATGGTATTAAAAAAAATTGACCTATAATGAATTCCAAATTAATCATATCACAATATCCATTAGATACTTATAACGCGTTATACATCAACAAAAACCGTGATACTATCATAGATATATAATAGTACACTTTAGAAGTTTCAAGTACCCACGAATAGTATTATTCAATCACAACAAAATAACTAAAATCGTAATTCTTGGTTTAAATATGAAATTTTGTCTAAATTTGAAATTAAAATGTCTGTAAAAAATAAGTGTGTTTATATATTTTTTAGATTTTTTGGTTACAGTATGAATTATTTAAGAGAATCTTTGTTTTAAATTTTCAACTCTTAGTTATAAAAACTGAACATTTTATAATTTTTTAATTCCAACGATTGATAATTTTCGAGATTTTGATAAATTTTGTCAAAATTCCAACTTTAAATGCTTATAAAAAAAAATCGTGCCTATGTATTTTTAATATTTTTCAACTGGTATTGTAACAATATATCAGGAGCCTTGTATTAAATTTTTACACTTTTTGGCCCAACAGATAAAACTTTATTGATATTTATAGAAAAAAAAACTAAAAAAAATTGAAAGCTGTAAATGTCCATAAACAGCTCAAAAAGAGTCAAAATATTTTCAAAATTGTATGGTGTATAGGAAATGCTAATATAAACATTCAGTGAAATTTTCATGTATCTACAGTTATTCGTTTTTGAATTACAACAAAATAAGGAAATCGCTACATGAGAAATCGAGTGAAAATCCAATGTTGTAAAAATTTGAATTTCAAACGCTCATAAAAATTTAATTTGACTGTCCGGTAGAGATTTTTTTATTGATAAAGGTAGATAATCTTATAAGGAATCTTGTGTTTCATTTTCAAATCTTAGATTTAAAAAGAAAAATTTTTACGAATTCTTAACTCAAAATAATTTGCTAATTTTCGTGATTTTTCCATATTTTGTCAATTTTTGAACTTTAAATGCTTATAAAAAAAAATTGTGACTAAGGATTTTTAATATTTTTCATCTGCCTTTGAAACAACATATTAGGAGCCTTCTATTAAATTTTCAAGCTTTCGCAACCAATAAATAAAATTTTATTGATATTTTTAGAAAAAAAACTAAAAAAAAATGGAAAATGAAAATGTCCCTAAACAGTTCAAAATAAATCAAAATATTTTGAAAATGTTATCGTGTATAGAAAATGCAAATATAAACAACCAGTGAAAATTTCATGTATATACGTTCATTTGTTTTAGAGTTACACCAATAACCAAAATCGATTTTTTGGAAAATCGATTTTGCGTAAAAATTCCCGTTTTTCCTTAATTTTTATGTTGTTTTTTCCCGGCGCTTGTGAAAACTACTGGGAAATTTATACTTTTGACCCCCCAAAGTACCAACTAGATTCACTTTCCTATCAGAAAAGCTACTGATGAAGAAAATCCAAGCACTTTTACTGTCCTAAAACGTGATGACAGACACAAAAATATAAATAAAAATATAAAAATATAAAAACATACATCATTGTAAAACCAATACATTCATCGCTCCGCTCAGAATCTAAAACACACATCATTGTAAAACCAATACATTCATCGCTCCGCTCAGAATCTAAAATACATATTGTTATATCAATACATCACTCCATTTAGAATCTAATACTGCTAGTCTGCAGCAGTCTATATGTGCACTAAGTTAATGTCAAGAAATTAAAAAACTTCATAGGTACCTACAACTGATGTTAAAAGACAATAATAATTCTTACAAATAGTATTTATATATTATTTTTAAATGTATACAAATCATGTATTGTATAGACCACAATATTTCCTATAATTTATTTTAAATATAATAACAGGTTGTAACAGGAAGACCTGACAGACGAAATAGTTTTTGTTTTAATCGATATTTAAAATTTTTTTTTATAATTAATTTATAGTTACTTGCGCTACACTTGTAGTACAACATTTTTTTTTATTTCTTAATACTGGAAATAAAAATTTTAAATTTAATTCAAATATATTATCAAGAATTCAAAATAGTCAATTTTTAGATCTGATCATAAGAACAATTTTGATGGTAAAAACATTTATCAAATTAAAGTAATTTATTTTTTAGAACTTTTCAAATATCAATATTTTTTTGAGTAAATTAATTTAAAACTTTTTTTAAAAATATTAGTTTTGAGAAATTCTCAACATCATTTTTCTTTTTTTTTGTCAGATCTTCCTGGTACACTTGTATAAGAATAAAAGCGATCCAGTAGATAATTACCATTCTGTATATAAAAATAGTAGGCTAATAGTAGGTGTACATCGTCATTGTAATAGTAGTGAATGTGTTACAATTTGAATTCAATGATAAAATATCTGATAAAACTTTTTGATAGTTAAGGTTACCTAACAATTATTTTTATAATATTAAAATTTTAACAAATGTTAGAATTAGATTCTGAGAGGAATGTATTTTATTTTTCACAACTATTTTTAAAAATTCATGAGAAATGTATAATTCTGACCTATTGAAGTACTAACTAGATCACCAGAGACCTCCCTTAAAGTTGATTATCGGAAAATTTAGTATAAAACATAAATAGTAAGCCTGGGCATAAAGTTAATATTAACTTTCAAATTGTATTATATGAAAACAACATACCTATCAGCTATTGTTGAATTTTAAATTGATTAGTGTATCATAAAAATTATAAAAAAGATTATTATTATGGTATAAATTAGAGTTTTATTCAATTTGAATATCATTAAAAAAAATGTAGATTTTGATATCATTTGATTTCCTAGATTATTTTGAACAATATTCAAAACTGATTTCAAACCTTGCTTGGATTGGATTCAAAAATAAAAAACACATTTTAAAATCAATACGCTCTGCTCAGAATCTGATATGACAAACATACATTTTAAAAATTATCATGTGACCATTTGGAAATATATTGATGTACCATTGTACCAAATAAAATAATTGTACTTTTCTCAACAAATTTCTCCAATTTGGTCTAACACTGGAGCATTGTAACTAGTCATAGTTGATTATTTTTCTAAATGCAGTGATGTACAAGAGTACATAAAAGTTAAAAGCCTAAATCATAGTAAAAAATAACTTGGGCATGCCACGATTTTCGTTAAGGGCATACAAATAAATATAAAATTAGGAGGTGGGTACACGTCGTATACCCTCCAGTACACCACTTTGTAAATGGTTTGACTTGATCAATCTTTAGTACGGTGAAAGAAGTTATACATAAATGTAAAAAACTCTTAGTACTCATTGGATCCCTAATCTAGTCATTGTTTATAACATCCTTGTGGTACGGATGCTACAATCCTTTCAACTTTTTCAAATTTTAATACTCGAATTTCACTCTTTTCACTTTAAGCCCGCATTACGCCCAGAGAAATGGCCTTGCAGAGATCAGGAGACATGTAAAAAATTGCAAAAAAAATTTCTTGAAACAGGAATTGATATTCAATCAACGCTCTTGGAGTCTAAAATATGTATATATACAGTTAGTCTACAAGCATCTCCTTCAGAATAATTTCTCTATAGTAGTTTTAAGAACTTAAATACCATTAGCTTTGTCCAAACTTTAATACCATGTCCATATTTGACTAAAACAACAACAAAATAAGTATACACTTATATTTTTAATTTATAAAAACTAAATATTAAGTCAAGGCCATAATTGATAATTATATTAAGCGAACAAAAATATTATAATTTATCATGAATAATTATTATTAGAAATGGTTAAGAGAGAGTTGTTATTTTGTATATAAAATATTGACACTACTGTCTTGGCCTGGTCCATTAAAAAACATTATTTTAATAAAAGACACGTTTCCATGCTTAAAACAGAAAACAACCAGGTTTGTATTTTAACATCTGTAAAAAAGAAAATGTATACATTTTTGGGTGAATTACTTATTTTTAAATAAATATATAATCATTTAAAAAATATATTAGGATCACAAAATATGTAACTATGAATTTACAATTTTTTGAAAACTGTTTATTTAGAATTTACACGATTATTATTCAATTATTTAAATATAATTCCTTTAGATGCCTTATATAGAAAAGAACACTGTTCATGAGATATTTTATGGAAATATATACACATTATTATACAGAAAATAATCATTATGATTTTAATAATATTAAGTCTTTTTAGAATTTTTTTTGGTTTTTTTGGGTGTACAATATTTTGCCTCCATTCTAGCAATAAAATTATCCATTTGTTGTTCACGTTCAGCTGATCGCTTTTTAATAGCCAACATTAAATCATTAGAATTATTTTTTTTCTCTTTTTCTACTTCTATTGTGCATTGGGCTTCTTCTCTTTTAGCCTAAAATTAAAAAAAATGCATCAAACTAGGAATAATAATTTTCAATATAATAGTTGACTCACTTTTGCTAATCTTTTTCTTTTTTTTGAAGGAGGTTCATTGCTAAATGCTTTAAATCTTGGTAAATCTTCTTCTTCAATGATTTTTCCTAAAATCTCACGAAGACGATCTTCCTCATACACAGAACTAAATGGAACCATGTTTATAATAAATTCCATATCTCCTTTTCCTGCTAAATATCCTTTTTTAAGATCTCTTTTTTCATCATCAGAACCTAAAACAAATTGAATGACATTTAAAATAACATTAAATGATACCTTTTAAATAATATATACCTTTATACTTCAATTCATAATCTCTGATTTCGTTGTCAGTAATTTTTCTAAAAATTGAACTCCAATAAGTTTCCCAAGGGAAGTCTTCAGTAGCAGAGTTGGGGTCAATATCATCGCCAACACATCCTACAAAAACAAATTGTTACCCACTGAATAATTTGTACATTAAATTATAGTAGCACCAACTAGGGTGTGGACTTATACAATAAATGCTTATTTTTATTAGGAATGTTAACAATTTAAATCATTCTTATTATTATTATGCCAATTTTATTTTACATATTTCACCAATTTGTAAATATTTTGGACTATCATCATTTATACATTTTTAGACTTTGTCATAGTCAACAAAAACAGCAATATATTATACAATAAACACAATCATCCAATAACATTGGCATATTTTTAGTCTTGTATCAAATAATATTTATTTATGACTGACAATAGGTTCTCTACAGATGGAGATAGCAATTGGGTTTTAGTAAGTGTTAGGCGAGGTGTTTGGCTTTAAATGTACACAAATTTAATGGGGAAATACTAACTATAATTCAAAAACTTGAATCAATAGAAAAAATTAAAATTCATTAATAAACAAATAGGGAGGTATCTCATAAAAAAAAAATGGACCTTTTCCGTTTATTCATTATCACTACTTTTTTTGGGTTTTCCGTTAATTCACTATCGTTACACGTATACCATGTCAGTGGTGCCCGAGTTGCCACTCGCTAGCTGCGCTGCTCTCTGACAAAAAAACATTACTTGATTTTCTATGCAACACCACTTCAAGTTGGTCACAGGGTAACCACGGTATACCCACTCTTAATAATGACATTAATTTTATAACGACTATTCTATTTAAATAATGGTAGACGTATAATACGCATTAATAAGAATTTTGTTTATATTACAAAATAGATTTGAGTAGGAAGACGGGGAGAATATCTACAGTTTAAGTGGGAAAAATACTATTTGTTTGGGGAGTAGATATATTTAATCTACGAAGAATTTAAATATTTATTAAGTATGTAGGTAATTGGTTAATTATAATTTATAACAGTAACAAAAGAATAAAAAATTTAAATATATGGTTATCATTGACAATTATAAATTTAATTTAATAAACAAATAAAGCTAAGTGTAATATAAAATGTAAATACTACAATCCATAACTTACCAGCGTCATCATAAAGCTTTCTCTTGTCAGCATCATTTAGCAGTGCATGAATTCGACTGATAACTTTAAATTTTTCAGTAGCTTCAGTTTTTTCGTTTTCAGTTACTTTGTCAGGATGGTATTTCATTGACAAAACGTAATACGCTTTACGAACTACAACAAACCACAACAATTAATAAATATAGGTAATTAAAATATTTGTCCATCAACGTTTAGCTGCAAGTTTGTAATAACACTAAACACAGGAGCTCAATCAGGCCCATCGCTAGGGCAGTAGGGCACAAGCGAGACATACATGCTTCGCTTTAGGACGGCATACAGACATGCAGTTGTAAAGGAATGGAAGGAGGCAAAATTAAATAAATATCAACATAATGGCATAAAAATGTTCACTTTGGGGCAATAGGGCGGAAAATATCTAACGACGAGCACAATATCTAACCTTCTTTATCCGTGGCATCTTTTTTCGTCTTCAACACCTCGTATAGATTTTCAGTGTTGAAATATTTACGGCAAAGTTCTAATAGCGTGGTCATGTTGAAATCGTGAATAGGTACAATTTAAAAACTAGAATATCAAGCGATATTGATAACTTGTATCAAACGCGTGTATGTCTACTAAAATAATAATAAAACTAGCGAATTGACAAACGTTAAGTTATAGATCAAATAATTTGAAATTTCAACTTGACGTTAATTCAAAAGTAAATAACTTAACAACGAACTACGAAGCGTCGAAGCCTAAAGAGTAAGATGATGAATGACTATTCACTATTATTTATTAATCAAATTATACTTTTTTCTTTATGTAGAAGGCTGATTAAAAGGATTGAATTGGCGGGTAAAATTGTTTAAGTAACATATGTTTATTCTCTGTATTTAGTTCAGTTCACGATTAAAGATCAACGACGGTTGAGTTACAAGCGTTTCATGTCCTCTTCCATGACGACGAATTGACAAAATAATAACATGCGTACGGTTACCCATAGAGGATACCTCTTACCAAGTATATGTTCAGACTATACAGTGTACAATATTCTGAAATATTTTGATAATAACCGGCCGTATCGCCGTGATGATGATGCCGATGATGGTTGGTGTCGTTACGATTTAATTTTTATTATAATGTCCAGCGTGCACTTTGATTTTTGAATTTTAGTCGTCCGTGGTAAAAGTTACTTTAAAATTATTGTCTGTGGTTTAAACTTGTGTTTTGAACTATTTCCACTATTTGAATATCTTTACAATATGACACTTGCTTGACTTTCAGTTTGTTCTTTAGTTTAACTTAATTCTAAGAGCAACATCAAAATGAGTACACACGTTAAAGGATCATGTGTTGATGTTTTGGTACGAACAGTATAATTTAGTGTAGAAATATAGTTTTTATATTATTATGTTATTTTAATTTTTTTAAAGGATTTTAAGTGTTCGGCATTCTGCAATCTTCGTGTATTCAATGAAGGACACCAATTTGACACATCTACTGCCATGATCATCAGTTCTAACCGATTTGGAATAACTATTGTTGCTTCACCCAATCAGCTTTGTAGTATGATATATAATTTTAATATATAATTTAAAAAAAGTATTGAATTTTAGATGCAATTGGTTTTACAATATATTTTTTTTATTGTAAAATACATGGTAGGTATTCATAGTACCTATAAACCTTATCATCTTTAATTTTTGTGATTTATTTATTATTAGAAGTTTTATTTTCAATTCATAGTATTGTTATTTAAGTAATACTTACAAATAATATCTGGATGTAAGTGGGTAGATCAATATAAAAAATTCAACTTTTCATACATTATAACATTTTATAATTCTAGTTTTTAAATAACCTTTATCTTAGGTATCATAACTTTTTTAATTAAGTCTAAAAGTTTACCATAAATATATTAGTATTTATGTTGGTGTAGAATAGTATTTAAAGGCTGTATTGAACCAGAAATCTAAATTAAAATTTCCCAATTACCTAGGTACTTTTTATGAAATGGAAACTATAATTTTTTATAGCATTGCCTACTTTTACATTAAAATTTAAATTCTACTGATGATATTTTATATAGTAATTTATAAAAGCATTAATATAAAATCTAAGCTATTGATAAACCATTATTACTTTTTTAATTTACCTATACTCTGTCCCAAAAGAGAATAATCACTTTTCGCGCATCACAAATGATTCGATTGGCAAGTCGAGAACTACGTGATCACGTTAACACGGGGAAGTTGGTGGGGGATATGCGGAACCGACGAGAAACGGTCGGCCCGACTGATTATTCTCTAATGGGACAGAGTATAATCATGTTATTTTTTGTTTTATTTTGATAATTGCCAATATGAGTTAAACTGTCTAAAAATACCTTAATTAAATTTAATACTAAAGTCAAGTTAAATTTTAAGTTTATTTATTTATTGGTTTACTAAAATTTAATGGATCAATCATGTTCTAATGACTAACTATTGTTTCATTAAATGTTTAGTGTTTGTTTAAGTAACTCGGCACAAAAGTTGTATTACTTTATTAAACATTTAAATATATATGTTTAAATTTTGTTAGTGATTCAATGAAGCATGTTCGTCATCTAGTTGGTGATTTTGGTGTTGAAAAAAATACATTGACAGATTTTTTAAGACGTGAAATAGAATTAGATTACACCCCTAACTTTTTAGACCTTAGTTGTGATGAAGCATATATAGCGGTTGCGGGATTTTCAAATTCAAAAACCTCAATAACTATTTACAATGTTGAGGATTTAATTTCAAAAGTAAAATATAATAATAATAATTATATTATTATTACTATTATCATCATAATCATAATCAACACTTCATTTCAGAATTGCATTTCTCCGTTAGTATTTGTTGAGCTTACAGCTATTCAGGAATCACATGTAAAAGACATGTCATGGAATCCAGGTGTTCAAAATTCTTTGGCATGTTGTCTGTCTGATGGATCCTTGCATATTATAGAGTTGAAAGATGGTGGAATGTACAATGTTGTCAGTTTACCACCACAATCGAGTACACTGTATGTAAATTAACTGTCAGTATTAAGCTTATTTATTATTTCATTATTAAAATATATTTTTTAGATGTTTGAGTTGGAGCCCTAAAGGAAAACAAATAATAATTGGCAGTTCTAATGGATCTTTAACACAGTATAAACCTGAACTCAAAGCTATGAAGCAGTATTTACCACCAACCGATGTAACGGGAAATGTAAAACCTATTAAAATAAAGTGGATATCAAATTTTCAATTTGCTGTGTTTATGATTTTGTGGATAACACAGATAATATTAAGTAAGTTGTTACATCTGTTTAAAAGTTTTAATCCTTATTTATATTCTATAGATCTTTACATTCTCAACACACCAAAAAATGCACCAGTGGAGTTTATTAACTTTGAACAATATGTTGTGATGAATTCTGAACAGTATAGATTAAATCAATATTATACAATATTTCAACCAAATTGGTAAATTATACTTGATAAATGATAATGTAGTTTCTATATTTGACATGATTTATTAATTTGTGTTTTAGGAATCTTCTATTTGTCGCTTCTTCAAATTGTACAGAAATTGGTGTTATGGGAATAAATAATGAAAACCAATGGCAATGTTGGGTGTTAGAAACAAGACCAGAGTTACCATACAGACTTGATAAACAAATGTATCCTTTAGGAATGTCATTAGATCTTTCTTCTCAAATGCAAATAAAACAATGTAAATATATTTTTTCTATTTTATTTTTAAATATTCTTATTAAAATGAAAACTGTTACAGTATCTAAATCAAATGAAGAGATATTTCTTGAACCAATGCCAGTATTATGTGTATTATCAAGTGATGGTATATTATTTATGTATCATATTGAAAATCAGTTAACTGACTACAAAAATATATGTAAACCACCAACAGAAATATCAGATGATATAGTCTCTCAGTTATTTACTACTATTTCTAAAATAGTAAGCATACATTATGATTATTAAATATTTTAATATATTATAACTTTTTTAAATTACCTAGGTTTAACTACTTTAATTTTGAAATCAAGTGATGTCGTAATCGTCCCTCACACAATCCATAATTTAAATATTTCTCCTTTAGCATCTAGACATAAACATTTTAACATCAAGTTAATCATTAAGGAGAAATTCTATTTTTTCTCTCTCTGGGTCATGTCTAATATAAACAAACCACGTTCACACAAAATCATTCATGTTTTTAAATAATCTTGGGTAAAATTACCCATGAGAAAAAATATTGAGATATATATTGGTGAGTGTTTGACATATTGATTTGTCTAAATATTGTCTACAACCAATTAATTTTTCAAAAAAAAAATTTAAGTCAAATAATAAAAATATTAAACTGATACATTAAAACTTCAACAATATTATTTTCTTTAATTGTTTGATATGTGTTTTTGCTCAAAGACAATTCCAAAATCATAAATAAATGTGTTTTTTTTTTTTTTGTGAATGTGTTTCATCTATGGTCTATTCACAATGAGATCATTACTCGGTGGCCTAGTTGTGCGCATAGGCGTTGCTTTGTTCCTTAGCAGCGCCCGATGCGTCGCCTTAGGGCCTGTATTACAATAGTTTAACACCGGTTAAACCACCGAATTTGGCCAGTAAAATCAGTGGTTCAAGCCTAACTGAGGTTTAAATCATGATTGTAAAACGGGCCCTTAGTGAGGACAGCATCTGACCATATGTCTGACTGCCGCCCGACAAAAACTGGTCATCGCCGAGTAATAATCTCATTGTGAATAGACTATATGTGGTATAGAAAACAAATACTGTGCTGACATCATCTCTTTGTTCAAATAAAGTTTACATTACTAGTTACTTGCATCCTTATCAATCAACATTTTTCACGAGGAGAGATCTATTGATAAACACTTGATTTCCAAATTTTTTTATATTAACACAAAAGAAAACAAATTTCCAAATTAATTATAATAGCAAATTAGTAATAACTGTGAATATTGAATCCTACTTTTAATTAATTTTTTAATCATATAATATCAGACTTGTTTGAATTTAAATTATTAAATAGTAATCAAAGTATACATTAACATACCTACATAATATATAATATGTTCTGCTATTAATTATTATCATTATGTTCTTTGTAATTTATTTTATAAAAAAATGTTTGGTGTATAGGTTGCAATATAAATATTAGTAAAGTACCTATTTAAAAAAAAAAATTGTGTATAAGAGGATGCTTCTCATGCGTTTGTTGTTTCCGTCTTAAACACATATAACATAGCACATTTTCATTCACTGGTTTCAATTGTGTGCTGTTAATTTTGATATTAGAGTGAATTTTACCTATTATCAAAGTTTTAGGTAAGAACATTATCTGTGCTTAAGATTCGGCAATTTTTAATTTTCAATCAAAAAATGGGTGTGTGAAATATTACAAATTATAAATTCACGTATATTACTTGAAAATTGAAATATTGAACTTAATCTTAAGCATAGATAATGTTCTTACCTAAAAATTTGATGATAGGTCACTCTAATATCAAAACTAACAGCACACTATTGAAACTAGTGAATGAAAACTTGCCGTCATATGTATGTAAAACTGAGACAAAGAAATGCACGGGTAGCGTCCTCTTAACATTTTAGATTATGATTTATATTATTCAATTGTTAGATGTTCTTTTTATTATTACTTAAACTTTTGTAAACTGTGCTGATTCAAATGTATACAATTTTAAACAAACTTGAATTTGTATTAAGAATATTACATGTCAATTGCATGCAATTTTTTTTAGTTGTTTTACTTATATATGGTTTCATAATTTTAAGAAATAAATTATTAATTTTTTTTTATAGAATAATATTGAAGAAATTGAACAAAATGTGTCTGAAATAGTCGAAATAATAGATGTTGTGTAAGTAAATAGCTAACTATATTGTAATATTTTAATTTATATATTATATTTAATAATGTATTTGTTTTGCCATTGTGTATATTATTATTTTATATACGATGACAATTTTAAAATATTTATATTAATTTTAAGTTGTGTATAATATGAACTTATTAAAACCATTCTATGGTTTTTTGTGGAGTTGTGTTAAAATGTTTGAAGTTTCAAAAAATCAAATCGAAATTAATTATAACTAAAAGTATAAAATTCTAAAATTAATCCGAACTTCAAAATAATATGATGATGTAGGAGTGAAACGGAGAGAACTTTAAAGGAAATTTGGGATAATAATAAAATATGCACAGACTTATGACAAAAGTTGTAACTTCAGTCCAAATTTATAAAATTAATACAAAGAAAAATATGATATTATGATATTATTACCATGTAATGACAATTTTCAAAACTAAAAACAAATTAAATTCATATTTTTTGTTTTATTATGAAACACATTTGAAACCTACCATATGGTTTTGTGCTTTCTCTATTTTTTTATTTGTTTTATTTCAACTGTAACTATTATTTGTATTGGTCTCCTATAGTTACACATTAATTGTCAATTATAATGTTTTTTATGCAGTGATGAAAAAGCCAGAGGAGATCATAATGAATCTGTGCTTGCGAGCTATTTAGAAACATCAACTACTTCTCAAGTTGAACAACCACAAATATGTAATCTTTTTTTATCATATCTTTTTTCTATATCTGTATATGTGATTAATGATAATTATTCGTTTTATAAATTAATATTAGTGGATACATCAACAATTTCAGTAGTCAAACCAAATGTTCCCGAAGTGTATACTGAAACTGTTACACCTGTACAAAATACTTTAAATGAAACAAACCCTGATAAAAATACATCAACAGATGAAACTGTAAGTCAAGTTATGTTAAAAGAAGTGTTGGAAGATGTACAAATATTCCAATTACAATTAGAAGATATCTTGAAATTATCACTAAATACTAGTAAGCTTAAGGTAAGAAAAATCTCATTTAATATAATATTATTTTTATTGAAGTGTCCATTTTTCAATAATTCTAATAGATCGGCAATGAAAAAGATAAAGAAATACTTATGAAAAAATGGACATCATTGGACTCGTTTTTCAAAGAATTGAACGAAACCAATCGTTCACAGTGGGTGGAAAGTAAAGCTCTTCAAAAAGCTGTGTTAGATTCTATTGCTTGGGTCGAGGACTCAAAATCTCGTATATTCTTTTTAAAAAATCCAAAGTAATGAATTTAAAAAAAAATGTTTTGCGCTTTTTAAGTTAAATTAATATTATTAATTTTCTGTTAAGATTTAAGTGTCTATTGAGAAATGATAGCGATGAACCATTTAGTAAAACACTTTTTGACAATATAGAACGTACTTTATACTACATTGAAACTCAATTAACACATGTTGATGATCAATTGAAAGCTAGATATGATAGTTATAATCCAAATAATAAGTAAGTTGTAGCTTTTATTAACTTGGATAATTTAAACATCCTTAATTATTTTATAATTTTAGGGAGTTGAAAATACCTTGTTTGGAAACTATATATAAATCATTGGTTGTAAATACAAATATAGTGAACAAACTAAAGGAAAAGATTAATTTTCTATATAATACAGTAGAAGAAATGAAATATAGAACATTTAAAAAATTGTCGTTAGCACCTGATGTTGTGCAAAACACTTCTAAATTAAATGAGTCTCGGTTAGTAAATGTTTACTTTTATAATTTTCATAATCTTATATAATATGATATTTTTATTTTATACATTTATTCCATAGTGATGTTGGCTTATCAAAACTTTCAGAACAGTTATTAAAAATTACTTTAGACAAAGACGGAGTGTCTGCTATTAATTCATATAATGTTGCAAAAAAGTACTCTGTATTATCGGCAAATCAAAGAGCACTTTCAGATTCCAAAGTTAATAAACTTCAAGAATGGTTAAAAGATTTTAAAACAAGGCGCACAAAAATAACCAGATCTCAATATGCAAATATAGATCTCAGCAGACCTGTGTGTAGCACACCTTTAAAACCGGTATCAAAACCAAAAATGCCTGAAAAAATAATTGATTACATACCTTTTGTGACAAAAGATAGTTTTATGTCTACTTTACAACAACCGTCTACATTATTGAGCAAAAACTATAATGCTAATCAACAGAATATCTCAGATAATAATTTACAATCAACATCGCAGCTTGATTTGACACAATTCCAAAAGCCTTTAATAATACCAACCACACAACAAAAAAATGGAGTAACCCCAATAACTGTAGCTACTTTTACTCCAGGATTTTCATTGGGGTCTAAGCCTTTGCTTACAAATACTGTATGGAATCCAATGGATAATTCATCAACTCCTAAGCCAGTTGCACCAAATGATTTCTCAAATAAATTTGATTATAAGGCTTTCACTAAAGACCCAATTGTTTTTAGTTCTGTTAATCCATTGTTTGCTAATAATGCGACTACTGCAGTTTCTACTAGAGATCCTGTAGATTTTAGTTTAAAATCATTAACGGCTACACCTATAAATTTCAGTAGCTCTAGTAATATGATGTCCAATAAGTCTACTTTAGATATTATTTCAGGAACAACAGAAGCAAAAGAAAAAATGCCATTTAATTTTTCCCAAGTATCTACAGCAAAATCAGAAACAACTGTACAAAAATCTACCGGTACAGTGAACTTTGATTTTGCTGATTCAATTAAAAATAAAATGGAGAAACCAAATGATATACCACTAAGTTTTGAAACACCAAAACCCTCAGAATCTTCAAGTATATTTTCTGGATTTGGTGCTGAAAATAAATCAAAGAATAAACAAGAAACAGTTCCAGAAAAAGATTCAACATTAACTACATTTAAGTTTAGTTCAAAATCGACAAACCCAGATACAGCATCATTTTCAACATTCAGTTTTAACACATCCAAAGATAGTGTTTTAAAAATTACAGAATCAGAAACCAAATCCTCTTTTACTTCCATACCAACTACCACAGTGACAGCGTCGTTTAATTTTTCACACCCACCAAAAGCAGTTCCTATAGTTAGTGAGCCATTAGATTCCTCCGCAGTATCGTCCAGCTTTGGAACTGTTAAAACTGCACTTGATTTTAGTGCTATATCAACAACTGTAGAAAGCAGTGTTACTGAAACTACTTCCCAAGTCTCTGAAAGTCCGACTCCAATTATATCTGAACCAATTACTCCAGAAAATGAAGAGTCTCCAAAATTTCCGGTTACTGAGAGCAGTTCACAAATTTTTGAAATCCCAACAACAAATATTTCAATGTTTGGTACGCCAATTAACTCAACTAGTACTACAAGTATTTTTGGAAATTCAACTATCACAACTAGCCAACCATCAATTTTCAGCACACCCACAAACAAAACTAGTGCCCCTTCAATTTTCAGTACACCTACAATTACAGATAGTGCTCCTTCAATTTTTAATACGCCTACAAATACAACTTGTGCCCCTTCAATATTCAGTACTCCTACGAGTACAACTATTGCCTCCTCCATTTTTGGTGCTACTACAAGTACAACCAATGTTTCTTCAATATTTGGATCACCAAGCAATACAAGTACGGCACCTTCAATTTTTGGTGCCTCGTCTACTACAACCTCATCATCAATCTTTGGAAACCCAATTAAAAGTACTCCGTCTATATTTGGTACACCATCTGCAACTACCGTGTCTTCTATGTTTGGATCGGTTACAACAACAAATACTACAAGTGGTTTTGGATCTCCAGCTCAGACAACAGCGTTTGGTGCTCCTGCTACAACAAGTTCTTCAATATTTGGTAATCCACCTGCTCCTGCTACAAAAAGTTCTACAATATTTGGTAATCCCGCCAATCCTGCTACAACAAGTTCTTCAATATTTGGTAATCCACCTGCTCCTGCTACAACAAGTTCTACGATATTTGGTAATCCCGCCAATCCTGCTACAACAAGTTCTTCAATATTTGGTAATCCAACTGCTCCTGCATCATCCGGTTCAATATTCGGTTCAGCATCCACAAACACGTCATCTGTTTTTGGAGCTCCAGTTACAACTAGTACAACGTCGTCTATTTTTGGGTCTCCTTCAACAACAGCCGCATCTAGTGGATTATTCGGATCAGTAGCTGCTGCAGCTAACCAATCATCATTTGGTCAACCTTCATTAGGATTTAGTTCTCCTGGATCAGCATTTGGCAATATGTCTCTTTTTGGCCAACCAGCATGTAGTCCATCTCAACCAGCAAATAGCTTTGCCCCAGCTGCCAATCCTTTTGCTGTTAATAAAACTCCTTCAAGTACACCATCATTGTTTTCTAACCAAAAATCAGTATTTGGCCAACCAGCTGCAAGGTAAATACAATTTACAGGACTTATACATTAATTAAATGTTATTTATTTTTTTTTTAAACTTGAATCCAGACCAATATATTTTATAATTTATGCTCTAGTTACATAGCTTTAAATGTTAACATTACCTGTTAACCAACATAATAATTTTATTTGTTCTAGTACACCCAATACAGGTTTCGGAGTACCAAATTCTGGATTTGGAGCTACTGCCAGTACTGGATTTGGTAGTCCCGCTATGGTTGGTCAATCAAATAATTTAGGTTTTGGATCTCCACCCATGTTTGGTAGTATGGGTACGTACTTAATATTGATTTTTCAATATTTTATTCTGCTATTTAATTATTATTTCAATTTAATTTTTAGGAACTACTTCATCGGGTTTTAATCAAACACCTGTGTTTGGAGGAGCTGCAACCTTTGGATCAACAGCTCCAACATTTGGACAAAACGGTACTATAAATTCAAACTTATAACTTGCATTACAGTGTACTAGTAATCAATATCTTTGGTGAACATAATATTATATACATGATAATGTTTTACGTGGTATCGCAGCATAGTGTAAACTATTTGCACCTTTTTACCACCATGTGGCATAATTTATTGAATATTATTTATAGCATTTTATTTTTTATTTTCTGTATTTGTTAATTGAAACTACCTCGAGGTCTTTGTCAATGCTTATCACAAGTAGTAGGGAGATCATGTGATCTATTTATCTATGTATATATCACTATATGCATGATACTACCCCTCTTCTCCAAGAGGAGACTCCCAGTGGAGTGGGACTTAGTTGGAAACTGGATAATGTAATCAGACGACAGTACGAGAAATTGGTGATCGTGTAGTAACACAAATTGTTTGCACTTTGCTATGAATTGAACTGATGACTGTGTGACCACTGCGCATCTCCGGCTCCGATTATTTATAGTATTTTATATTATTTCATTTTATAATTTGAGTGGTCCACCCCACTTGTGTTGTATGATCTGTCTAGTCATAGATTTTTTTTATATAAGTAATTAATTCTGGTCTAAATAAATTGTGTGGTGAAGTCAATTGGTTCTGATGGACTATCTGGTGAATGCTACATTCAGCATTATCCTATACATTATGGCTTTTATTTTGTAAATCCTTGGATGAAGGTATATATCCTGAAATATTAGGTTAGCACAGTTAAACTTATCTTTAAATCTCGGGATAGTTAACATTAAGTCAAATAGCTAAATTATTTTATTCATTATTCTAAAATTCAATCAAGCCACCGTCAATTAATGTTAATTAATGAGCAGTATCGTCCCCCCCCCCTGGCCAGTCAACAAACACTTGCAACCACGTTTTTCCAATTATGTATTAGAAGTGGTTCATAGATTGATGTAATATACAGATTTTACCAAAGCATTTAATGAATTTACTTTCCTAATGGTTGTTTTGTTGAATTCTGTAAATAAATTCTGAATAAAATATAATATAAATTATGATTTTGCGTTTTCCAATAAAAAAAAAAAGTTATTAGTATTTGTTATTTTGGTCACAACTGTTCAGTTTTGTTGAGGCCATGTCAATATTTTATACTGCTAATGGCTATAACTTGAATTTATTTTCCATACCATATACTAATAAAGTAATATATTTATTATATATAAGTATTAAGTATATATATTAGGTATAAGAAATAATTTAGTATTAAGCCATTTGGTTTAATCAGAATCAATTATTGATTTCATTGGATTTTATTTCCAAGGAAATAGATAATTATTGAATTGGCCTATGATCAATTGTAAAATTGTTCCTGTTAATTTATTATTATTGTTAAACAACTAACTACAGAATCCAGAATTTATTTTATTTTATTGAGAATCTTTCATTTTCATTACCTTTGTAATAAATTGTTATAATAGCTGGGAATTTTGGATTTGGTTCAGCTGCTCAACAACCATCGACTGCATTTGCTTCTCTTGCGACTCAAAACACTTCCCCAAGCTTTGGTAATATAGCTCAAAATCAAAACACTGGTTTTGCGTCTCCGACCACTCCAGGATTTGGTCAACCACAACAAACAAGCCCATTTAAACCCCAAGGAGCTACATTTGGGTAAATAGTTTTTTTTTCTACCGTCTTATCATTTAAAAATACCAACTAAGTTAATAAAATAAATATTCATGTTTTTTTAATGACATTGTAAAAATAAATGTATAAACTAGTTTATTTGTTACAAAGAATAAACAAATATAATATATAAATAATAAATATTATATCGATGTTTAATTTGTTTTAGGGGAACTTCATTTAGTTCTTGGCGCTAAGGATACAATTCTAACACCAACAATGAACGATATCCTAACTTTTCAATTATTTTATATATATTCTAATAAAACGTAAATGTTAAATTTATTATATCCAAAGTTGTAATTATTCTGTACACATTTGTTGAAAAATAAAATTCATGTTTATTTATGTAATACATTACTAAATTATTGTATTATTCATATTATTTTTCATAACTCGTCAGTATTGTTTTGTAATTATTTTGTAGATAAGTATTTAATTACTTTCATAATATTGAGATAATGAATACTTTATTAATAAAAATAGTTAAAATTTAATAAGGTATTTACTATTCAGGATACTTTTTAGATTGATTACACTTGTAATATATTTTTTTACTAAATTTAAAGTCATTTTTACTATGCATTTAATAAAGATATAAATAGAAACATTTTTATACATTTTTAACTCAAAATAATTATTGAAATTTTAACTTCAGACACTTATAAAAATATATTGTGAATTTACTTTTTTATAATTTGCACTAACAAAAACTTCTAAGGAAATTTGTATTACATTATCAAGGTTTTTGGTCAGAGCGAAAATGTTTGTTTTAGTAACTGACAAAAATACGTTTATACAATTAGAGTTCTTCACAATACCGATTTTGTTTTTTCTTTTCAATTCAAAAATGAATGAAATAACTAAACTATAATTTTTCAAACGAATACAATTTTTTTTAAAGCGTTTAAAATTCATGTTTTTCGAAAATTGTGAAAACTTTCATATTGTTTTGGAAGTAATTATTCGTAAATGCTTATATTTAATATAAGATTCCTCAATCTTCGTATGTTATTTTTAATGGACAAACAAAAATGAATCATAAAACTATAATTACGTCGTAAAACTTTTAAACCGTAACTAGAATATTAATGTTATAACTATGATATAACTTAACAAAATACATATCCCCAAATAATACCTAAACATAAGGATCAACATTTCGGAAAAAAACCTCGGTTTTTTCCCGTTTTTTTTCAGAAAAATGATTTCATTTACAATTTCCGGAAAAAATTGTTTTGACGATAAAAACTGGTTTTTTTCCTGAAAAATTTAATGATCTCATGTAAAAATGGCTTTTTTTCACGAATAACACGATGACAAACCATGCGATTCATACGTTTGCGGTCTGCCGTTTAATAATTAATATTGGATAATAATTAATTAGTTTCTTATCAAGTGACAAGTACCTACTAATCAGATTTGTATAGCTATTAGTAATAATAAATAATTTATAATGATATACAAATATATAATCGTACTACGCATTTCCGATAATGATGTTATGTTGTTAGTTGTTACTTATTTAATTAATATTGTCATTACTCATTTGTCAATCGTGCGCTGTCTATATTTATCTACAGCTTACAAGTAATATTAATTATATATCATATAAAAATACAGGTGAATGGTGATTGATTTTCGGGGAAATACACTCTGAGACTCTCCCACATAAATTCCAATTTGATATGTAACTACGTTATTTTTAGAACAAATATTAAAATATCCGTATTAATAGTTTAATTTTAAATTTTAATACAAAAATACATTGATAACCGTATTGGCCAAAGTGAAATGACAACGACAGGTTACCTTATCTATTTTTAAAAATGGTTTTTTTTTACATAGATTATTTTAATTTTCAAGCGAAAATGCAATTTTTTAATTTTCCAAAAATTTGGTTTTTTTTTAATTTTCCGAAATCCACTATTATTTTAATATTTTACAATTTTTCCACGTTTTCCGTTTTTCTGGAAAAAAAACGGTTTATGTGTGTTTATATAATGTCTGAGGACAAAGCTTAATTAATCCGGGAATCGGGATTTGATAAAACGATAAGACCTGACTTAACTGATAAGAATGACCCTCCGAGTGATTTCGCGCCGAAATATTCTCGACGCATGCGCAAACGGAATCCGGGTACATTCATTTACATGGATATTATTTAGAAGCTTGAAGCACCGAGTCACTATAACAATTTCACTAGCCAGTAGCCAAACTCAGCCGAAGCGGATGCCGAATGATAATCATTAAAATATTAGTATAAGTTAACCGCTCGGTCTTTTCCTCGTGTAAGTTTGTCTCTAAACATAGCTAATAAAATCTTTTGTCATATTTAATACAATAGGTAGTATAATACATATTTATCATTCATATTGCTTTAGGATAATAATGATGTCTGCTTTTACAACTCCTCGCAAGTCTCTTCGGTTACGTAAAAGTGAACCGTCTCCGTTTTTAATAAATCGAAAACGTGAATTATTCCCAGTAGATAACTGGGATGAAGACAGCCATGACATTATTCCTCTACAGTCATCTCCAGAAGTGTATGATCCTAGACTTGATTCTCCAAATTCATCGTTTAACATGCATTGCACTCCGATCACTGAATTGAGCCCCTCGATGAGTGATCAATTTGAAAGACTTATGTCGGGATCAAAGAATGGACATGAATGCTCAGCAACAATTATTATCGAAGAAACTCCAAATTCCAGACGAATTAAAAATGTTAACACAACACCATTTGAATCGGAGACTAACAAAGCAGCTAAAACTCCTTCAAAGAAAAGCTTTAGTTTAAATAATAAGACTGTATTAGGAGTAAAAACGTTAACCGTTTATGGAAGTAATCAAGTAAGAAATTTAAATTAATTGCTAATAATTTAATAGATCCATGTATTATTTATATAACATGCTGCCTAAGGTATACCTAAAATATCAACTCCAATAATAAGTAATCACTAAATTACTTCAACATCAGAGACCTCTTTCCTTGTTCCGTTATAAAGTAAAATTAATGATTCCAACACGGTCTTTGGGCCATGATACTTCTGATTATTTTTTCACAATATTTAATTTCACATACTACCTGTTCACATAAACTAACTGTTAGAAATTCAAAAATTCCCAAATATTGCATTTTGAATTTTGAATTTTTTTTGTGGTAGACTTATGTATTTTGACTATTTAAAAATGATGGTGCAATCAGAATTTGTCGATCGAATTGAGTTTGAAAGTTATAGCGGTTTTAAGTTAAACATTTTGGATTTTTAAAGAAAAATTTTTTTTGTTGAACCAAGGCGCCAAGTGAGGTAGTTGCGCCTTACCTGCTCCGGTTATATTTTTCAGATATATAATTTCTCTGAACCCAAATATCGTAAATATAAATGTTTCTGTAATTGGCAAAAAACAACTTTGTTTAATTCCGAGGTTCACCTGAGGTGGTTTTACACAACAAATCGGGGGATATTTTCGATTTGCGGAGCGGAGCGACGGCGCCGAGGAGCGTAGCGACGAGTGCCAATACACTCGTGATCACTGCAACTTTTAACTTTCATAACTTAAAACCGCTATAACTTTCAAACTAAATTCGATCGACAAATTTGTATCGAGTACAATGCTAAACATCTGTAATATTTTAAAAAAACCAACTAAAAATATTATACCTATATTATATTTTAGTAACATCAGTTAAAATATGGGCCCATAGGTATATATGCTATAAGACTTAAATATTTTAGGGCCCCAATTAAATGTCGGGGGGGGGGGGTGTCCAGCACACCCGGAACGCCCCGTGCGTGTGCCTATGATATATACCTATATGTTTTAATTAAAAATTTGACGCAATATTATTTGCATTATTCACAAACTAATCTTTTATCATTTTTGTACTTGTTTATTGATAGATATCATTAGAAGATCTTCGTGTTAAAAGATTTACTCGGTTAAATTATAATTCAAAGGTAAAAGCTAAACTGTTTAAAGATTCAAAATCAAGAGTAAGAAAGACCAAGATCAACCAGTCAGAACAAAAATCAAGATAAAATTGTTTCCTGGTATTACGTTGCCATTTAAAAATGCAACCTACAATTAAAAACCATTCATCAAAACTGAAATATGTGAAGAAAAAGATGATTTAATTGAAAACAATGAAGTAGTTAAGAAAAACAATTTTGATTTTTTTAAACCATCTTCCTCAAAAAACGTCTGGGATAGAATATATTAAGCAGGAAAAACCCGACGTATAAAAATGAGGATTCTGACAACAGGAAATTTTTCAAATCAAAAGTAATTCATAATAATACAGCAAACAGGTAAGGACTTTTTTTTTAGAGAATACTATTTATTAAATAAGATAGTTTCATTTTAAATATTTTTAATTTATCTTGCAGAAAAGATAATAGCTTTAACTTTAAAGTTGTAAACTGGGGTGATGAAAATAGGATGAGCACTGTTGATCAATCTGATTTAATAACACAGAAATACTTTATGATGGTGCATCGAACAAATTGGACAAGAAGTTAATGAACTAATAGAATTGTTAGATGATGAAGATGATGATGACAATTCACAGCTGTACTGTACCCCTGGTCTTTGCATCAAATTCTACAAAAAGAAATCATGAAGATCGGGATGTATAACATTTTCATAATAAATAGTAAACTTAGATTGAAATTGAATACATTCATTAGAATATAAAAATACCTAAAAGAAATGCGTATGAAATTAAGATCATTTTTTTATAGACTAGAATTTTAACATTTATATCTCGTTCAAAAATAATTCTAATAATTATAAATTATTGTTTAGATGCAGATTCAAGTATAGTGGTTTGATTCAAAACGTTTAAAGTCGGATGCACAAAGCCACAACCATATTATTTTAAGAAGTCAAATGCCAGATTTGATTAGAGATGCTTATGTTATTGATGAATCTTATCAGTCAGATTATTCATTACAAAAAGAGTAAGTCAAAAATTAATTATAATTACCTAATTAACAAGTTTTTTTTTATTGAATATAGGTTATATACCTAATATAAGGAAGGTCACATCTATTCATGTAAACCATTAAATTAAATATATAAAATTATTTTTTAGGGCATCGAGCACATTTGGAATGTAATTTATGGTCTTAGATGAATTTAATAGATACCTTCACAATGTGATGCTTCTGCTGATTTTAAAATGAATCACCTCAAACAAAGTTGTTCCCTATTTTTACAAATCACACACTTCTCCTAGTCATGTAGCATGGTAATTGTTTATTCATTTTTTTAACATAAATTATTAATTATTATCTTAAAAATACATTTAAACTAGATTTATTCTAGTGAAAAACCTACGGCACGAGAATAAAAAGAATTATTGATGCTACTCAATATCAACTCGATGCAGGTCAAAAGAAATTTGGTGTTTTTTGTGCAAACAATGTGGCCTTTATTATCAGAGGTGAACCAGAAGATGAAGCGGAACATGATAAATACCATGTAGCCAAGGATATTTTTTAAGTATATGTATGTGGATTAAAATAAATTTTTTCCTTTTATAATTCAATCTTAATATTTATATTTTAGAGCTTTAAAAATGAAAAAGTACTTTATCAGGACACTAATGAACGTATTGTTGTTATATCTGGCTCAGATCCTTTAAAAGCATGCACCAAAGCCTTAGAAGTTATATCATTTGTTGATGTAGAACTTGGCTTTAACACACAAAATTCTATTTACCTGCCACTAAAAGGTATGTCTTAGTTTTTTCTTGTAATAGATTAATTTGCATTAATAAATGACATTTTTATAAGGTTGACATTTAATATTTCAGGTTTATTTGTATATAAAGACAACAAGTGATTGGATGCCTAGTAGTAGAACTGATATCTGAAGCTTATCGTAATCTAGAAACTGAAACAGAAGACATGGTTATTGTTTCTGAAGAATCATATCCCGTAAAAGTTGGTGTTAACCGTATATGGACAAAATGGGACTGTCGTAAAAAAGGAATTGCTTCTAAGCTCCTAGACTGTTTCCGGTAAGGCTTATATTAATTATCATTTATTGCGACTACCTACACTGTTCAAAATGAGATCGTACTTCAGTGGCTACCAGTTTTCATCCCCGTCGGTCAAACACATTGTCATTCACTCCCCCATCAAGTCCAGTGCTTTGGAACAGAGCTGTGCCCGTGCGCATAAATTGGCCGCCGAGGTACAATTTTTGAACAGTGTATGGCACTAAATGCCATGATTTTCCAGTAAACTCAATTATGTTATTGTGACTGCCTCAAGTTCACACTGGGTTATATTATTTTAAGACAAATTTGTTATTTTCTTAATGAAATAATATAAACGTAGGTCTGTCCAACAAAACTTAAATTATCAAGTATATAATAGCGATGTATGACTGCCATTAAACCATTTTCCTAAAACTTAGGTTCCTAAACTTTTTTGGCTCCCTTTGCCCTATTTAAACCAAGGTTTTCTCAGTGCGCCCTTCCCCAAGTCATATCATGATTAGTCATAGAAAATAGAAAAATTAAATAAATATCAGTATAATTTGTAATGAAAATATTTAATTAATTTAAAATTTAAATTATACGTCATAATTTATACATTTTTATTTACATAATAAATAATAATTGTTTCCTTCAACGCCATCATAGGGGTTTTAACATTTATTTTTGTACCATAAAAAATTCTACAGCAGCACAACGCCCCTGTAAAGATACCACAGTGCACACTTTGAGAACCACTGCTCTACATGTTTAGTTTTTCTTAAAATCTGGTATTTACCATGTGAAGATAAATTTATGTGACTTTTCCAAAGTATTGACCATATTATATAATCGAAGAGATGAGTCATGTACCCATTTGGGTCACAAATCCAAATTATACTTCTGAATCAGATATTTTGGAAATATAATGTGAAATAATATAAGAAAATAAAAAATAGGTACGCATGCGTGTTGCATGGAATTGTTTTGTTTCTATGGCTTATGTATAGCTTTATTATGCAAAGTTTTGTAAAGGAAAGACATACTTGTATTATTTGTCTCTAGATTACAAAATTGTCTTAAAATTATATAATATGTGATAGTTGTAATACCAGATTTAAGTAAAAAATGGAAAATCTATAGCATTTTTTATGTTGATTAATTATTTAATACTAATATGTAATATTAATTATTTTAGTAAAAACTATGCCTATGGTCATATATTGACAATTCATGAAATAGCATTTACAGTACCCACACGTGCCGGAAAGCAATTCATTAAAAAATACACTAACAAAAGTGATTATTTTGTCTATACTGGGTGGTAATTATGAGTTTTCATTCCTAACAATAATATTTAAAAAATAATTTTTTACTATTTATATTTTTTTTTTATTTTTATGATTAGATTAAGTCCTAGTTCTTATGAAATTGTAATATTTAATATTGACCAAGTTTTTGACACTTGAAACTTATTTAATTACCAGATCATTTGATTTTTTTCAAATTCACTAGTTTCATGTTTTCATAACTTAATGACAATTAAAATTCTATTTTTATACTTATCTAATTATAATATTATAAAAAATGTTCATTAAAGCATCTCATAATCAAGATAATTTCAAAATACTTAAGAATTGTATTAAATTATTAGTATATTATACTATTTGAATCAAATAAGTTTCTACATTCAGATTCATAAAAGAGTTTAATATTAATATTTGAATTGTTAATATGCATAGGTAGTCTTTACGTGAGCAATTTGTATAGTTTATTTACCTAACTAGGAATAGTAATATTTATGGATTTTCTGTCTTATGCATAATATTTATTTTTTATAATTTTGTGTCATATAATATAATAATATGTATCATTTTTTATAATAAATCTTTGTTTTATTTATTTGACATTATTTTGATTTTAGAAAAGAAAAAATAACATAATGTTTATAAACCTAAGCTGACTTAAATACATTTCTGTATTTAGGATGATAAAAACAAATAATTTTAAGCTATTGGTAAGACATTACAAATATTTTTTTAACCAAAAACTGCAATCATTATGCACTGATAAACCAAGGACTTCACAGAGACTGCATTGCATTTTTTTTTGTAATATATGCCAAACATTTAAGTGATAAATTATATTAAAATAATAATTGAAAATACAAATAAATGAGTATGTAAATTAATCAAATAGTACAGCGGTTCTTAACCTGTGGTCCGGGGCCCCTTGAGGGTCCGCGATACTCATGTCGGGGGTCCGCGGCAGCCTCAACACATAACATACATCAATAAGTGACAGAGTGCATTATTACAATATTATTGGATTATTATTATTTTTTTCATATATAATAATATGTAGATTCTACACCAAATAATTGTATTATTAGTATTTAATAAGTAGGTAATCAGTTTTTCTTGTTCATACAAAATGTACATGCGTACAGCACTACAGTCTCGGCAGTTTTATATTACACTTTTATAAAAAATAATTGGAAATGTGTATGTTTTGTTGTCTACTAATGTAATTTTTAATATAAAATAATTATTATAATTTTGGTTATGATAACATGAGATGTTTTGTAAAAAAATTGGTAAGGGGGTCTGCGATTTCTAAAAATCTTTCATCAGGGTTCTGCGATCTACAAAAGGTTAAGAACCGCTGAAATAGTATATTATTTAGATTGTGTTTTAAAATAGTTTTGGAAGTCAAAGAAATATATACTACCACTTAATAGTAAATTGATAAAACAGTAATTATGATTTTAATAATTTTAAAATAATTTTATTAATTCATATTAAAGATGTTCACAAAATACTTACTATTGATTTTCAAATGAAAAAGTAATAAATTAAACTTTGATACTATTGAGAAGAACGTTTTTTATTAAATGACAATGGTCCAGATGCGAATGAACGAGTACTGATATTTGCCACAGACTCTGGATTATCATTATTAGCAAGTTCTAATACTTGGTTCATAGATGGGAATTTTGGACTTTCACTGGAATACTTTAAACAGCTGTACGTATTTCGAGTTCAAAAAAATTCAATTTTTATTACAGTTTTTTTCTGTATTCTTGAACGCAAAACCCAATATACTTTTGTTTCGGACAATAATGACCGAATGTGAAAAAAAAGGAAAATACCCCGATCCCGTTTTTTTAAGTATGGATTTCGAACTAGCCGTCACGAATGCTGCAAAACTGATTTTGGGCAGCCATATTACGATTAGAGGATGTTTTTATCACCTCTATCAGTCAACGTTTCGCAAATTACAAGAATTAGGCTTTTCCGAACAATATAAAAATTACGAAATATTCCGAAAGTTCTGTACTATGTGATAGTCTGGATTTTCTTCCATTAGATGATGTTAAAAACTGCATGGAGTATTTAAAACAAAATATACCAACTGGAGCAGAAGATTTCTTGATATATTTTGAATCTAAGTATATTAATGAACTTTTAAAAGAATAGGGACAGACAAGTGCAATATTCACCTTCGAAGGATTCCTCCAGCTTTCCCACCTTGTACATGGAATGTACATCAAACTACAATATCCACTGATAATAATAGATACAGAACAAATAAAATTACAGAAGGATGGAACAATCGATTTTCCCATTTAATTGGTATTAAACATCCCACAGTTTGGCATTTAATTAGAAAAATGAAATATGAGATTGCGGCGGACTATGCAAAATTAGCATTGGATGACGTTGGAGAAAGCAATAAAAAAACTACCAAATGAGGACGACAGAAAGTAGATTACAAGAACTTTGCGCCAGGTTTGTAAGTGGAAAAATAAATATTCCTGATTTTTTGAATTCAATAAGCCATAATATTAGAAAACAATCTAATAATTAACTGTGAGCATGAGTCACTGTGATTGACCTATTCATTTTTTTATGCTATATTTTAAACTAATTTAACTAATCAACTATTTCTAACTATTTTTTGATCATTATTTTATTATTATTATTACCATTTTATATTATTGACAATTATTATGATCGATACATTCGAAATATTTTTGTATATGCTATGTTTTTTTATTTATTGTTTGATAATTATTTTATTATGATTATAATTATTAGTATTATCATTATTATTACCACCTATATTTTGTATAATATTTTTGTATACCTACTATATTATACCTACTAAATATTTTTATATGTTATGTTTTTTCTGTGAGTAGGTTACTATAATACATTCAAAATTCAATAAATTGTTGTTTGATAATTATTGTTATTATTATTATTATTGATATTACTACCTATATTTTCAATTTTTTATAATATTTTTATATACCTTCTATGTTTTGAACTGTATTATTTGACGTATTGATCACTCGAAATATTTTTATACTTTATATAGTTGTGTACTACACCTCACACAACAATCATAAGTAACATTTGAAGTTTTGAAAACGTAATATTTTATTTCGGGGATTTAATTTTTACAGAATTATACCAAAATAAAATGTGTGTTAATACAGTAATATATATTTATATATTTGACGTAGGTATCGATCATTCAAAATATTTTTATATTCTATATACCTATTTGTGAAGTTGTTAAGTTAGTTACTTAATTTGAATTACACAAAATATATTATCATAATTTAAAACAAAATATTATTTCTAATATATAATTTTTTTAACAATATAACATAATATACATATTTTTAATCAAATATTAATTATAGATACTAATTAACGTTTAAAAAATATTTGTTCAGCCATTTCCTATTGTCGGGGTTTTTTTTTTCCCGGGATTCCTGGTAACCTACTGTACAGCAGAGCCCCTTTTTTCAAGTTATAAATCCATATCTTGATTTTTTGTGATTTTTATAGCCCATATTTGGAGTTTTTAAGTGCATATTTAGAAGCTAAAAAGTAACATTTTTAGTGCTACAACTTCCAAGCCCTGATTATAAGTTATTATTATACATTATACATTATATTATGTCTTATTTATTTGATAAAAATATGATAGACATAATATACTGGGTGATTCTTTTATCAAACAACACTCATTATTTCAAAAAGTGTAATTTTTTTTGAAAATATTTTTTTACATAGTTTCAAGTCGCTTATAAAACAACGTTTTTATTAAAAAATTATATTTTTAAATATTTTTTATCCTTATAATTTTTTAAGTTTTTTACCTTTTTGAATAACAACATAGGGTTTTAATTTTATATTCCAAAGCAGAATATTTTTCTTAGTATTTTGATACATGAAAATCGAATTTGGGTTGAGTAGTTTATGAGTTATAAGTATTTAAAGTTTTTACGAGCGGAGTGGAGTGGTTCGGGGTTACCCCGCGAAATGATTGTCCACTTCACCGCTCGTCTAAACTTTAAATACTTATAACTCATACACTACTAGCCCCAAATTCAATTTTCATGTATCAAAATACTAAGAAAAATATTCTACTTTAGAATATAAAATTAAAACCCTATGTTGTCATTCAAAAAAGTAAAAAACTTAAAAAATTATAAGGATAAAAAATAGTTAAAAATATAATTTTTTAATAAAAACTTTGTTTTATAAGCGACTTGAAACTATGTACTAAAATATCTTCAAAAAAATTTACACTTTTGAAATAATGAGTGTTGTTTGATAAAAGAATCACCCAGTATATCAATATCATTATTTACAAACAATTTTAGATGCAAATTGTTGGTGTACCTATAAATTATTATAATATTTATAACCCATCCGCATCATCTGTACTTGTATACTGACAAATGATTAGTGACTAATATGTATGTAAACTGTTTTGTGCTCTATATGATTTGTTTAATATATTATACAATTTAAAAACGTGTATAAATACTGTTTTATTTTACGGCTGTGCTACCCAAAAATCTTATAAAATATTAAATGTTGTAAACATTATTATTTATTATATACTAAAGTAATATTAATTTTTGAGATTTAGATCATGGTTAGTGTAAAAATATAAATTACACCTAAGTAAACGTGGTCTGTGTGGAAAATTGTTATTGAACTAACCAATAGCGTTATACAGTTTATTATCCATTGTTAATTATTCAAATAATGAATCGTTATATATAAGATCGTTTATTTAAGTTAACCTGTAGACTGTAGAGTCTAGGAGAATAAGAATGCATAAAAAATTAGCAATTTTATATTATGCTCACCTGCAATTACCTAAACACATAAGTATATAGTTTAATGTTATTACTTTGTGTCTTACTACTTTTATACTAGTTACTACTTACTATGTTAAGACTCATCATCTAAATACCACTGCCTAATAAATATACTATTATACTAAGTACACAATATGTCAATATGATTAGAAATTTATGTCATTATATTATACATTTACACTTAGTAGTCAGTTGTGAAATTGTACTTGTATCTTCTAATAATATAATATTAAAAATTTAAATATTTTTAAATTCGGCGGTCGCTGATAATGTAATTTGTTGTTTATTCTAAGCCAAACTGTTATGATATTTTTCATCCATGATAGTGATCTTTTTATTATCAGTTATCACGAACCAATAAACCATTCCACCTTAAATATATTCATTATTTTTAAATATTACATTCAGTTGGCTGTTGTTACTGGCTACTGCCTAGTGGTTACAACTTACGACTTACAACTTATAAGCTCAATCATTTTTATACTAACAATTAGATGTAACTATTACGCTCTCAACGTATTATTATTTAGAATGAGATCGTTGAATATCGTTCGTTTTCATAATATAATAACATCCGACAAAAGTATCATATAATTACATTTTTAAGATGAAAAATATGAATGTAATTTCTGATGTTTCGAACCAGAAACGACAACTAGAAACAACGTTCGATGGAACTCTCAAAAACGTCTTCACGTGGACGATGATAGTGAATTTTTTGGTTTGCCACACAAAGTAAAACATTTGTTCAAAAAGCACAAAAGAGTAACACAGCTTTATGGTTTGAATTTTTTTAAATCTTTGAGGGTTTTAGATGTACGACTTCTTCATAATGCAATATTTTACACGTAGATTGGCAAATCGAATGTTTGAATTTGGATGCGATAAAAAAAAGAAAAAACTTGATTTATGCATTGCCCACAAGTGGCGGAAAAACACTTGTAGCAGAAATTCTTATGCTTAAAGAACTCATAGTTTATGAACGTAATGTTATATTTATTTTGCCATATGTTGCACTAGTCCAAGAAAAGGTATGAAGTAAATTATGATAAATCTTTAAAATTGATTTTTAACACAATTTTTGAGTAGGTGCAATCTTTATGTCCATTTGGTCTTAACTTGGAATTCAATGTTGAAGAATATGTTGGTGGCAAAGGAAAACATCCTCCACTACATCGTAAACGTAAATCGTCAATATATATATGCACTCTAGAGAGAGGAGCTGGACTGGTTGATTGTATGCTGGCTGACAATGGTCAGTTAGGTGGACGGAGTGTTGGAATGATTGTTGTTGATGAATTGCATCTTCTCGGCGAACAAAAAAGGGGAGCCTTGTTAGAAGCAACTCTTACAAAAGTGTTAGACTCCAAGCAGTCCAAGCGTAAGTAATATTTAAATTTTAAACTATAACTTGATATTATTTTTTTTAAATACTTACCATAGCTATTAACTATAGATAATATTCAGATTATTGGTATGTCAGCTACAATTGGAAATATGCAAGAAATAGGTGACTTTTTAAATGCTCACGTTTACACAAGAGATTTTAGACCTGTAAAGCTCACAGAAACGATAAAATTAAACGAACAAATATTTGTGATAAATAAAGATATTGATGGTTCTTTAAAAAGTAAACTTGATAGAAAATTAGATTTTGACGTAAGTTTAAAGTTTTGAAATTATATTTTTGACTAAAAATAATAATTACTTTTAATTAGGCTTATTCAACTGATATGAAACTATTAGACCCCAGTGGTATTGGGCTTCTTGTTCGTGAAATATTACCGGATGGGAGCTGTTTGATTTTTTGTCCTACCAAGAGCAGTTGTCAGAGTATTGCCAAAATTATTTATAAGACTATTGGAAGGTAAGCATTATTCATAGTAAGATATTGTAATCATTGAAAACTTACAAAATGTATCTATAGTAATATTTTATAAATCTAATAGTCAGGAAACAAAAGATAAACTTAAACAAAAAGAAGAATTATATAAAGCATTGAAAGAAGAAGGCGACGGTAAAGTGTGTCCTTTATTATCCAGAAGTATCCTCTTTGGAGTCGCATATCATAATTCAGGTAAGACCCAAAGTACATTATATTATTATAGTATAATATTTCATATGAAATATGCTTTAACTAATAAATGTTTAGGGTTGACAAATGCTGAAAGAAAACTGATAGAAGAAGCTTTTCTAGATGGTATTCTTAAATGTATTTGTTGTACATCAACATTGGCAGCTGGTGTAAATCTTCCAGCCCAAAGAGTAAAATTAAACAATTTATATTTTAGAACTTTAGACCATAAGTGAAAACAAATTGTACAATTTTATTCTAAACCCCATTTGTGCCACTAACTTCAACATAGCACCTTTGAAATTCCAGTTCTTTGGTCCACTCAGTGTCGACCTGGCACACCAAAGTTCCATGGATCAGTTTTTTTAAGGGGCCCTACAATGGCCCACCAAAAATTGTGCCTAAAAATTGTTAAATATTTCGATTAATACTTTGCGGAGTCCCTACTCACTATATGGAATATGCCACGCAAATAAAAAAATTACAATACCCTAAAAAAAAAACGGAGGGGCCCCGGCCTCGTTTGCGGTCCAGCGGCCATGACCAGGACGATACTAGGCCCACCCAACATGTAATACTGCTCAGCTTTATTGAAATTAAAATTTTAATTTGTTAGGTCATAATCACATCACCATATGTTGGACGAGATTTTATGAAACAAAGCACATACAGACAAATGGTAGGACGTGCTGGTAGAGCTGGTCTGACAGAATGTGGTGATAGTGTACTGTTGTTTCAAGAAAGCGATAAAGAAAAGGTTATTATAAATACATTATAATTTTACAAATGGTTTTTTTTATTTTATGCCTGTGCTTATTTTTTATGGAATTGATGATAAAATGTATCAGTATGCATTTATAATTGAGTCAAATTTTAGTATTGAATAAGTACATTCTCTTAATTATATATGACTATTAATATTTTATTTTCTAGATTAGAGTATTACTAGAAAGTGGTGTTGAAAATATTGACAGCTGCCTTGGCACAGAAGAAAGTGTAGTTTATTCGATGATATTAAGCTCTGTAAGTACAGGGTGTACGTCTAGTCAACAACAATTGGTAGACCTGATGAAGCGTACACTTTTTATTCAACAAGCTGAGAAACGTAATGTTGAATGTACAGTTGCATCAGATCTAGTAGAATCATGTTTAGATAAATTAAAATCAATAAATGCATTTGATAAGCCGATCGAAGATAAATTAAAACTAACATCAATTGCAAAAGCTGCAGTGGCTGCCAACTTGGACATATTAGAAGCTCAAAAGTTATATACAGAATTATTGGAAGCCTCAAGTGCATTAATATTGACTAACAAACTTCATTTATTATACTTAGCTGTTCCTTACACAGAATGTATCACACTAGAACGTCAAAATGTTTTAGATATAGTAAGTATAGCAATAGAACATAATATAATATTATATTCTATTCAAGCTGAGAATTATATTCGGTGAAGGCGACATCCGTACATTTCTCTCAATGAGTCTACAACCATCTGTATTATCGGCTTGATTTAAAAACACCCTTTCGCTCATGTCGACGGCCTATTTATTTTTTTGACTTGAATGGAGCAAGTGTTGAATGAGTGTAATAAAGATTTTTAACGTATATTTTCTTATAGATGACAAATTTACAAGGAGACCAACAAGCATTGGCTAACCGATTGGGATTAAACGAATTATGTATATCACAATTCTTTAGTTATGGAAAAGTCAAAGTAAGAAGGTTTCTTTAATTAAATAAAAAACAACATTCAAATAGTTCCGTAATATCATATATTATATTATTTATTTTTATTAAGTTAAATTTTATGTTAAAACTATTAGAATGTATCTGAAAATATTTGGAATAAATTTCTCATGAGTTTGATTTTGAACGATTTGTGGAATAAAGAATCTATTTGGACAGTATCTAAAACATACAATTTGCCAAGGGGAACAATACATTCATTCTTATCAAGGACTGCATCACATGCTTCTTCCATATTAAGATTTACTGAGGTAAATACTACATTTAACTACAACTAGGGTGCCCAGGATATTTTTTCAGGTTTAGTATGATATGATTTTACCCAACCACTCCCTAAAATCTAGGTCTTTCAGCCTTTTATTTTTCAGTTAATTTTATTGCATCAATAATTAAATTTGATGAGAATCTTTTGAATTATAATTGTGTAAAATAAATTCAATCATATTTAAGCTTACTTTTGCTCAATAACACATAACTAGGGCTCGGGAGTTATATATTCTATAGGTTTACGATTTATAATAGACAAAGCTAAAAATCTTAGCTATTCAATGGCCAGTTTAAAAATCGAAAATTGAAATTTCATATTTCGTCAATTTTAGGGTGAAAGTGCATATTTTTTGAGTTTCATATGTATATTATGTATATTTAATATTTTCTAAAAATAATTATATTGAATATATAACTCAATATTATTTAATGTAGGGAGGTATTTATTGTTATGATCGCAATCAACTATTAATTTAATGACAACTGTGCGATGCTCATTTAATCTCTATCACTAATATTCTGATTATGTACTATCTTTTCGAAACTATTTTTCAGTTCAATAAATTGTCAAAACGCCATACAGTTTTCGGCCATATTTTAAATATTATAAATTTATTTTTCCAAATTTTACATTTCTTTTAGTACTGTTTAATAACAGCATTAACAGTTTATTTTGAGTTCTGAATTTTCATGAACATTTATCAAACTTTTGCATATTTGACATATTTTTCATACATATTTTACAATTTTTCCTTGCATATTTTCCTTTTTTTAAGTCCTATAACTACCGAGCCTTATACATAGTCAAATAAGTTTCACTTCACCTAAATATAACTAATAAATCACTATTATGCTAATCAGCTAATCCAATGAAATATTTATAATAATTAATAAGTAATAACTAACAAATATATAATTAGTAGAATAAACAATATAACTACAATTTATGTTTTAATGTTGAAGATTTAAGACTAAATATATTTATTTAACATGTCAAAGGGGCATATAAAAATTAATCGAAAAAAAAAAAACATTTTATACAAATTTAAATTATAATCTTTAGAACACAACCACAATCAATTTAATTTATTGTTATTTATTATTTCAATTAAAAACAAATCAAATTAATTATTTTTTAATGTTTGCGACATTTCACATCTCTATTTTCTGCACTAACTTTTCTATTTTGAGTGGAATTTTTACTGTATTAAACCACTTTTAACATAGTTGTGACACAAAATGAAAATTGTATAATCTTTGTTTTTATATATTTTTACAATTAACTATCCATCAATATTGGTAACCACGGGCCATAAAAAAATTAGTAGATTATTTGACATGCCTGCCCCCAATGCTTACTGGTATTTTTATTTCAAAAGTATAGCTATAAATAGGGTTAGGTGCCACTTAACTAAAATATTTTATGTGATTGAAATTAAATCAGTTATAAATTTTAGGCATTAAAAGATAAAAAATTGGATCATTTCCCAATGTTATTTCAAAATATTATTCCTAAACTTAACATAGGAATATTAGGAAGTTCATCAGATCTTGAATCATTAATGAGTTTGCCATCAGTGAGATTTGTAAGTATATGATCTTTTTATTACGGTCAAACGTGGTCAACTTGAAATTGTCGATACTTCGATCTTTTTTCCCGGTCCCTAGAATTTCCTATAATCGTATAATTCTTGGATAACTTGAACCTTCAGTTAAGCCGGTCTCTTCAATTTGAGTTAACCACGTTCGACTGTACTATGGACATTTTTTTTATTAAATCAAATTAATTTAAGTATTTATTGTAGGGTAGAGCAACTCAACTGTATAAAGCGGGCTATAAAACATTGAATGATGTGGCTAAAGCAAATAAAAAAGAATTATGCAATGTTATTAATCATTTACCATTAAAAGTATCTCGTGAGATGATTGCTTCTGCTAAAGTGAATTTTTTAACTGTAATTTTATTATTTTATTTACTTTTTTATATTTATTTTTTGTTACATAGCTTATGTTGTTGTCGGAAGCAGAAGCATTAGAAGAGTTAGCTGAAAGTTTGCGTGCAGATCTAAACCAATCCATGTCAAAAAATAAAGACAATTCTTTATGGTTCTAAAAAGTTTATCCTGATTTAATTGCTAAACCATTCCATAAAGTAGACTAGTTTTCTCTAGTCTACATATTAAAATCCACCATGATACTAATGATACTGATTAAGTCACAGTGAATTTTAAAGAAAACTTATTTTTGTATGTTTATTTTTGTTTAATTTTAGTTATCAGATTTAACAATTATTTATTTATTCAAAGAGATAAATTCTCTTTTAAAATATTTCTATGTTTATTGCTTGAATAAAATTTTTATTAATGATTTTTACCAAACGAGTTGTAACTTTATTACCATCTTATTTAACTACTATTTTTTTCAGTTAGATGAGTTATACACATTGAGCATTTCACCCCCATACATATTTAATGAAAGCTTTGTACAAATACATATTAGTTAAAAATAAATAGCATAAATAATAAGTGCTAAGCACATCCAAGCATTCCCACCGTAAAATTGCATCAATGGTTATTACTTATTAGTAATAAAAAGGAATGCCTTAATCCGTCAATTTGTATGTATAAAACAGATATTTGATATTTGTTTTCTCTCAGATCCACGAGGAACATAGATAAAACGCTTTCACCCAAAATTTTTTTTTTTTTATGTTTTTTGTGTAATCTTAGAGTAAAATCAACTATTACAAAAACTATAGAGGATAATGTATCGATTTTATATTTAATTGTTATTAAACTTTGTATTCAAATTTCAAAATAAACAAAAAAATGTTGAACATTTAAATTATGTTTAAATTGTTTTGAGACAATAATAAACAAATCGATATGTCATACCCTCAAAAAATATTATTATCTATTGTTTTTTTAATGCGCAATTGTACTCTAAGGTTACTTAAAAACATAAAAAAAATGATCCTGTGTAAATGCATTTTGTCTTTGTTGCGAGTGGGCCAGAGAGTGAAAAGTTATGACAAATAGTGTGCTGACATATTCTCTTAAGTAATATTTGTATCTGTTTGTGTGTATCATAATATGCTTGTTCAATACAAGTCAGTTAAAATCTACAATCATGATTCCAACTAAATGGAAGAAAATAGTGTTAACTGTTTGCAATAATCTCCTTAATATTATCATATTGCCAGTTCTTTCTTTTTGCAGATATCAAGCAGCAAGAAGTCTAATAGAAATGTCTCGAGTTCTATAATAAATTTTGTTCTGAAAATTATCAAAGAAAAATATACCTAATATTTTTGTACAAGTTTTATTTATTTATTTTGTTTTTTTTATATCGATATCACTCAGTTAAAATAGCCAAATAGGTACTTAGTATAGAAAAGACAAAATAATATGGGTAATGTAACAAAAAGGTTGAATAATTACAATTATTTACCTACATCTGTTCAGACAGGGGATTTGAGTGAAGAGACCATCCATTGATGGGACTTTGTGACATGTGGTGGTGGCAGTCAGTCTAGTTAGAGTAGATCACGACACCATGTTCATTTTAGACGCCTTCTGGGGTCACCGGAAATAATGTGAACAGATAGTTCCGAAATCAAGGGGTTGCGATGATTGTGAAGATTGGAGCATAGGCGTGACTAGACTTCATCGGCAGGGGCAGCCTAGCTAATGATCGGCACTACCTTATTAGTGAACCAAAAAAGGCCCAATACACCCAAAGCAGTATTTTTTAAGTCCCCCCTTCCACAATGAAATATTTATATAATTTTAAAAAAGTCTAAATTATCTATTTACAATAAAAATCTACTGTAACTTCAGAAATATTATTCATCTACAGCCTTGGATTAGACCACCTAGCTACAAATCAAACATAATATAACAATAATATCAATAATACCTACATGCGTAGGTACCGTCGTCGTTTGTCTCAAGTCTTTATAGTTTATAGTAGGTTTTTCCGATTTCTGAAGTCTGGAAATCATTTAATCAATTTGACAAAACATGTTAAATAAAGATATTATCTACTTAATTTTGTTGAACATAACTTTGTAAGTAAATGGAAATAATAACGATACACTTGAAAAAATCAAGTTTGCACCCTAGGCTGCCATCATAGTCCGTAGACACGCCTATGGATTGGAGTGCATGTTTATTTTTTTTTTATCCTGTATACAAAATTTCTACCAGAAGGAGTGTTTCGATTTTGACATATAGCATCTTATCTTTTAGCAAATTGGATCAAGATGGTACTTTAGAGAGGTCGTTTTTCGATTTTCTTAATAGTTATATTGAATGCCATGGGATTTTGAAGTTTTTGTGGTTATACAATAATATTTGAACCGCTCCATAATTATTATATAATAATTTTTTAATTTAAAAATACATTTTTTTCATAAAATAAATAAATACATTTTAGATTCTGAGTAGAACGATGAATGTATTGATTTTACAATGATGTGTTTGTTTTTTTTTTTTAATTTTATTTTTGCCTGCGTACACGATAAGTAGGCGAAGTAATGCTTCTTTCAACTTCATTATCTTGTTCTATGGGAAAGTGAATATTATATTGTTGGTACATTGGGGAGGTAAAAATTTAAAATTCCCAATAGTTTTCAAAAGACCCGTGAAAAACAACATTAAAATTAAAGAAAAACGGGAATTTTTACGCAAAATCGGTTTTCCACAATATCAATTTTGGTTTTTAGTGTAACTTTAAAACAAATGAATGTATATACATGAAGTTTTCACCAGTTGTTTATATTTGCATTTTCTATACACGATAAAATTTTCAAAATATTTTTATTTGTTTTGAACTGTTTAGGAACATTTTCTGTTTCCAATTTCATTAGTCTTTTTTTTTATGAATGTAAATAAAACTTTATTTGTTGGGTAAAAAAGCTTGAAAATTTAATGCAAGGCTCCTGATATACTGTTACAATAGCAGTTTAAAAATATTAAAAATACATATTCACAATTTTTTTTATAAGCTTTTAAGGTTCGAATTTTTACAATATTTATCAAATTTAAAATTTAATAATTATTTTGTTGTCAAAAATGTATAAAATGTTCAACTTTTATAGCTAAGTATTGAAAATTTAGGTAAATTTATTGCTGCCACGTTAAGATGGACCAAATAACACTAGCATGGTTTAATTTAAACAAGTTTTAGTAAATATTTGTATACAAATAACAAATAAATCATTAATCTTTTACTTCGGCTATAACTTATACGAATATATAATTAAATAGAACTTCACATACCTAAAACCTACCAATTATAATAATATACCAGAATCACATAACCTAATAAATGAAAACATAGTAACTCATTTATAAGTATAAATATTTGATTTTTATTGCAATATCTTATGATATATTACAAGTAACAGAAAAGTTTTCAAATAATTGAATTTTATGAATAATACTTTATAAATAACAAATTAATAATACAATATAATGAGCATAAACATGCAACAAATATTATTATATACCTATTATCTCTGAAATTAATATAATATTTACTATGTGTTATAAAATAAAAAACTCAATAGAATAAATATTTTACTGTATAGGAATGACAGAAAGGAAATTATAATTACAAATTATTTTGCGGGTGATACAGGTTTTTTCAGTGGAGTCTGTTTAAGTTGAAGAATGATAGATCTCATACGCGTTACATCTTTACTAGCACGACTCGATTTGGGGTTAAAATCGCAGAGTTTTGAGATGCGGTCCCATTCAGTGCCTGGCTCAATTTCATCAGATTCAGCAACAAATTGTTTCTCTGCATTTCTAGATAAAAAATTAAACAAATTATAATATTAGTATAGATAATAAAAAAAATTCAATTTATTTAATAATTGGAAATAGTCATCATCAATCTATTAAATCTAAATTGTACTACTTACATTGCAGATTCTCTATTCCAATGAAGCATTTAAAGAAAATATATTTATAATATTATAATATAATTTAACATAATAGTGTATTTTAAAATATTAGTTTATATTACCGATTAACATCTTTAGTTTTTGCAATTTGTTCCTTGTGAATCTTGTACCATTCTTCCAATTCACTTTTAGCGACCAGCCGTAATTCTTCTTTTTTTTTTTCTTCATCAGCATCTAATGACATGTTCACAAAATAAATTAAGTAAGAAGCCACACAATTATTAATCAATATAATATAATACCTTTTTCTTCTAATCGAGTCTTCTGTTCTTCTCGCCATTTCTTAATCTTTTCTGGTTCTTCCCTCTCAATTTTAGGAGCAATTATTGGTGATGGTGTGTCTGAAGAAAAAAAGAAAAACAGATAGTTAAAAATCACATTAACTATTGAAACATGTTATATTTTTAACATTTATTATCATAGCCTAAAAACGATAATTTACTCACAAACTTTTTTTGGTGAAACCAATTTTTTTTCTGCACAGACATGTACAAAATATAGAAAAACTGTTTTTTAGATTCTACTGATCATTTTTTTTACAATGATGAGTATTTTTTATTTTATGGCTAAAGACACTTTTTCTAGTAGAAAAAATGCTCTTGTCATCAAATTTAACGGAAGGTTGTTGGCAGAAAATTTGATCTAGCTTGTATTTTGATGGGTCAAAAATAGAAATTTCTCAGTACTTTTTAGGATAAAAAAAAAGTTTTAGTTGTTTGCTAACTACAGTTACCACAAAGTTAGTCTCTGTTCAGAAACGTCAATCACAGTGACCATATTAATGACTAGGTACAATCAACACCTTGCCTACTTTTTGAATGTAAAATATATCATCAGAATTCATTAGTAGGGCTCTTAAGTATGTTATGCATTATACATTTAAAATCATAATTTTTCTTAAAAATATGCATTTATGTACCAAAAATGGCCAAAATAATAAAATACATTATTTAAAAAAATATTAATTTGATTTGTTGTTAGTATAATACAAATATACAATACATATTTATTATTATATAATTATGAATTGTTACATTTTTATTTTTTTATAATTGTACATAGTTTTTGTTTTAGTTACACATTAGTGAAATATGTTTTACAGTAAAATTTTGAAAAATTAATATTTTTAATCACACATTCATAAAATATATTTTGTTCTTACTTCGCAAACAATACAATCAACTATTAAAAATATGCAAATGCATACAAATCCAACCCCTACTCATAAGAAATAAGTATCTTGAAATTAAAATCACATGAGTATTATTGAATTTGAATAATTAACAAAAAAATATATTAGTGATTAACTTTGAACTATAAGAAAATGTACAATTGAAACAATTCTTTAAAATAAAACCAAATAATATATTCTCTACATTAAATGTTTGTAATTCGTTTTTGATTAATTAATTTTTAATGTGATTAAGCTACTCAATTACATTTTAATTTAAATTACATAATAATACAAATATATTCATTAGAATAATAGGCTCATTTTAAATCAAATTATAAATATTCGAAAAAATAATTTTAACCTAATGTAGTTAACCAAAATTAATTTATATCCATACATGTTAATGTGTAAAATTAATTTTACTTACCATCATCACTATTTGTAACTGTAAAACCATTTGTTAATCCATTTTCTAGGTCAAAGGAAAAAAACAAAACAATAATAAAACAATACTGCAAATAATATTGGTAGAAAAGCATTACAGAAATTGACCTAACTAGACTTCAACTTAAAAAGGTGCTTAGGGTTGTATTAAATAATACAAATTGTTAATTAAAAATAAAATATAATAAATGCATAGGTATATCAATTTAGATTAATCTTAAAGGATAATTTATAACTATGGTGTTCTATTAACACAAAGCTACCTAGTTGTGCCAATGATATTATATTATTTTTTAAAATTAATAATGGCTCAAATATGAATTTAATTTAATTTATATTTTAAATCTATGACAATGATTATTAAAAAGAAACATTTAAAAAATTTCAAGAATTTTTTAGTAAAAATTGTTCAACCATTTTAACCAATTATGCCTAATGTATGTTTTTCTATTCTACAAATATAATTTTATTACATATACAATATACCTACATATAAATAGATGAATAGATATCAAATATTTAATTAAAAATATAGCTTTTAAATACTTTAAGATTATTCATCTTTTTATTATTACTCAACTTAAAGTCATATAACTCATGTGATTATAGTCACATTATAACAGACAATTAGTTTTTACTAGATATGCATGAACTTTTATCGCTATTAATATTATGTGCTAAAAGTTTTAGTTTTTGATTTAATTTCAAGGATTTATAAAGAAACTATCATATTATAATTTCATAAAGGTTGTTATAAGTTATAACCTAAGAAATGTCAATATTAATAGTTTAAAAAAATAGCTCAAAAGACAAAATTTGCTTAACTGTGGTATGTTTTATTTGAATGAACTTTAAATCTGACAACTCACCAATCTCAGGGTTAGTTAACTGGTTTTCTGCGCTATCAATTATTTCAAAGCTGCTTCCTGAACCTAATTGTACATACAATTCATAACATGCAGAAAAAAAAAATAAAAAAGTATGAATAAAAAGCTTCACAAAGCAGGCAAGTGATAACTATAATAACTGTATTCTGCTAGTCAAAATTACTAGCTGTTACCGTTAGATAATGTTTGGGTGACACCGATCGGTACGTTGGGTGTGCCGAGATCATCTTCCAAGCCTGCCAATTGGGTCTGTTCGCGAGCTAAAAATTCTGCAGCTGGATCGACGTCACCATCATCAAAATTGTCACCAAAGTTGTCCATCACTTCTATAACTGTACTCAAAAACAAACAGACAATTATTTACCATGAGCTGTGTACCTACATAACGTTTAACAACAATAAATAGTTGTTAGAAAAATGATGCAAGGGCCGAACCGACAGAACTGTCATCACAGTATTTAGAGATAAGATAACGACGACAAATGTATCATAACAAAATCGAGAATAAAAGGCGTATTTCGATATTGAATTCCCCTGTCGAGTTAACGATGACGTGTAAAAATAGTTGCAGACTTACGTTCAGAAATTCGTCCTTCGTTCGAATCGAGAGGTTTAGAGCCGAGAAACTGTTTGCAGTTGTGTGTATGGAATCCTTTTGACAAACAGCAGGGAAAAAAACAGAGAGCTGGTTAGAAGACTATAATAATTGGGGCCGGGACTCTAATGGTTTGATGACCAAATTAAACGCGAGTGTCGGGTGGGCAGACTATAGTGACAACAGACTACAGAGTGAGGCAGAGGCACGGGGCATAGGCAGTGGATCAGTGAACACTGGGTAGTGGGCAGGAGGCAGCAAGATTAGACGAGTAGTTGATTGGCGATTGCTGATATTACCAAATAATATTATACGTCATGATAAAATTACGTACGATGGCAACGGACTGTATTATCGGGCACGCGTAATTTCCCAGATAATAAATGAACAGAACGTTAGTAATCCAGAAATTAAATTTAACAGAAAAATAAAATGACAGAAAATAAAAATTACAGAAAAAAAAATTACAGAAAAATAAATAATTGAAAATTAATGTTCCAGAATTGATTTCATATCGAAAATAAAATGAACGTAAAATATGTTCCAGAAATATAATCCCAGAAAGTTGAAAACCTGAAACTACAATCACAGAACGTAGTTTTACAGAAATTGATAACGTAGACCATAATTTTCCAGAAAACTAAATTCCATAAAGTTTAAAGCCTGAAATTATAATCACAGAACGTAGTTTTACAGAAAGTGATACCGTAGACCATAATTTTCCAGAAAATTAAAACCCAGAAAGTTTAAATTCTGGAATTATCCATATTATATTAATAATTATGTCCATATGCGCCCATATGAGGAAGGGGTTTAGAGGCTAAGGCGCCTAAAAAAATTCAATACCCCCCAAGAAAAAAAAATATGTTAAAATGTTATTAATAATGCTTATCGACTATCGTAATAATTTTTGTTTATTCCATCTAAAAACCTTAAAGTATATGTTAATTATTACAATATTGTAGAAAATTATATTATCATAATTCATAATTGTGGTAGGCACCTACGAACAATTATAAGTCATTATAGTAAAAACATATAGCTGAACAATATTATTACCTATATAATATTTATACGTTTATCTATTTTTATAATATATTATATTACTATATTAGTGAGTAACCTGAGTGGTTGGGCCGCATTTAACGGGGGCAAGGTCCCCAATTGCCCCGGGGTGGCAAGTTTAAGGTGATTTAAGGGGCGGTGGATTTTCAGAGTATATTTCATATTACATACCTACGTATTTCGTACCTATTGATTGTTTAAAACAATATAATATTGTTAAAATATTAATACCTACCAATAATATAATATTATAATCCACCAACAATTCAAGAATAACTAGGTACTGAAATGTATCACAGTTGTGTGCAGTGTGTTTGTGTTGTTTTTAGCTTTTATTATTTAGTTTAAGGCCCGATCACAAAAAAGAGCTGAATGATCTAATAATAATTGTTTACAAGTAATGAATTGTTAATTTTTTTACGTTCAATACAAAAACCCGACTTTTATTAAGTAAAATGAAAAAAGTATTTCAAAAGTATTTAAATACATGCCAATTATTTGTATTAATTTTTCTTAAATACTTTCTGAATAGATTTATTTGTATGTATTTAAATACAATATAATATAATATAAGTTGAATAAAATCTATTTTAATTTAAATTCACAATTAATTTAATAAATTATGTGTTTCAAAAAAAATTCTTGTATGTGTGTGTAAAAACTAACAAGTAGGCAGCTAAGTAAGAAATTGTGAATTATTACATGAATCCTGTGCATCTCTGCGTGTGGTGGCGTCAGGACTCTGGATCAAGCCGTCCAGTAATTACCTACTCCCCGCCCAACCCTTGGGGAAACTGGACTTGTCTAGTTAACCAAAAACCATCTTCGACACCTTGACATGCGCAATGGGGCCGGTCTCCAAAAGTAGTATGTCGCTTAGAAGCAGTGCTTGAATTGGAAAAAAAATAGAAGGGGGATGCAAAAGTATAAATGATATGTGCGTCCCCGAACATTTAAATGTCTTAC